GACTCAGTCAGAAGAGAGGGCTTGTAAGCATTTGACTCAGTCAGAAGAGATGGCTTGTAAGCATTTGACTCAGTCAGAAGAGAGGGCTTGTAAGCATTTGACTCAGTCAGAAGAGATGGCGTGTAAGCATTTGACTCAGTCAGAAGAGATTGCTTGTAAGCATTTGACTCAGAAGAGATGGCCTGTGAGCATTTGATTTGGTCAGAAGAGATGGTCTTTAAGCATTTGATTTGGTCAGAAGAGATGGCCTGTATAAGATAACGGAGAAGTTTGACAGTCCGAGTAGATTTATTACAAATATTACATCAACTCCATGATGATATAATGGCCAAAAAGGGGATGGGGTGTATTCTGGACATGGCTATGTGGCTTTTCCTGTGAGTAATGGTGAAAAACAAGACAGTGTTCTAGCCTCAACACTTTTTAGCATTGTTTTGTGAGCAATTGCTGACTGATGCTTTTCTCGACAAAAATGACATCATTTCTATAAGATACAGGACAGACGGAGCGCCATTTAATCTAAGGACGCCGAAAGCTATTGAGAAAGTTAAAGAAACGGCGATTCGAGACATCTTGTTTGCTGACTGTCTCCTAAATAAAAGCTGAGAACAGAAAATCCAGCAAATGCTTCATCGCTTTGCTAAAGGTCTGCAACAACAACGGAGTGCAACAACTACGGCCTGCAACAACTACGGCCTGCAACAACTACGGCCTGCAACAACTACGGCCTGCAACAACTACGGCCTGCAACAACTACGGCCTGCAACAACTACGGCCTGCAACAACTACGGCCTGTAACAACTACGGCCTGCAACAACTACGGCCTGCAACAGCCCAGGTCCGAGACGACTACGGCCTGCAACAACTACGGCCTGCAACAGCCACGGTCCGAGACAACTGCGGCCTCATTATAATAAAGATCCAGCATCATCCAGCTCCATGAAAACTTAAAAGAATTAAAGACTTAACAATTTAAGGGAAGGGACATAATTTCCAAAAAGTGGAAAAATTCCTATTTCTTACACCCCCTCCCGGCCAGTAACAATAGATGATGAGATCACAATCTAATTTCGAAATTGCATGTTAAATTTTAATGGCCCCGCAAGAGCGCTGAGGCGCGAAAGGGTCGCTGTCTTGTCACTAAGCTGAAGGTGCATAGAGAAATCATATAAACATCTCTCCTACATCCAAGCGGGACGAGTACAGTTTACAGCAGACATGCTAGACAACTAAACCCTCTACACCTAGGCTTTCTGCATATAATCCTTTGCATAAAACAGAAGTCCTGCAACAGGATGACATTTTCAACATCCACACAAAAGGGAAAAGCCAGATGGCCAGGTCGTCTTGCAAGAATGCCAGCCAGCAGACATCACAAGCAACTAATTTTCAGTGAACTCTCCAGAGGGAAACGCTCAGCTGGTGGGAAGAAAAAATGCTTCAAGGACTGTCTAAACGAGGGGTCTCAAACTCGCGGCCCGCGGGCCACTTGCGGCCAGCAAGACGATATTTTTCGGCCCGCGACATGACAGGAAATTTAGTGTTAATGCGGTCCGCGCTTTTCCCCCGTTCTCATATCTATAATGTGACCCTTCGCGATGGTTTCGGTCGTATCTCACCGACTAGTCTAATTCTGATTTTATTATGTTTGTACAGAACTGGACGTTGATTATAATGGTAGAAATCGTTTTAAAATCGGACTAAAAGCCTTTTAATTTGTAGCATTTTATGCGACAAACATGGCGGCCAAAGTGAGGTTTTGAGAAAACCCGCTTCGAATATTAGATATTATTTTTCAAAATTTTAACGAGTCAGTTACTGGGTAATGCACAACCAAAATTGTGTACATCGTAGCAACCTGACACAGTCTCAAAGAATCCCTATTGAAATTGCCGCACATGTTTACGAGTGAGGGAAATTCCGAACCTGTCAGCTTGGTCACTTGCGCTGTCAGGTCACTGGCAGCAAGCAGTAGGAAGAAAAAAGTGAAGCCTTTTATTTGTGAACCCTTAATGTTTTTATTTGTTATTGCTAAAGGTTGAGCAGATTGTAACAGTTGTACTTTATTGAATTTGTAATAGCTTTCTTGTGGAACACTTAATGCGGCTCAGTCTCACCCAAACTCTGCCTCCTGCGGCCCAGTCTCACTCAGACTGTGCATCCTGCGGCCCAGTCTCACTCAGACTGTGCATCCTGCGGCCCAGTCTCACTCAGACTGTGCATCCTGCGGCCCAGTCTCACTCAGACTGTGCATCCTGCGGCCCAGTCTCACTCAAACTCTGTCGCCTGCTGTTCAGTCTCACTCAGACTCTGTCTAGTTAACTTTTATAAAAAGTGTTGGACTGCAATAAAGCTTTAAAATAGAGTAAGACATGAACCAATTGTGTCAATATAACAATATAAGTTATGCTTTAATAATAACTATACATTATACACAAGTAAACGTTTCGGCACATGCCTTCATCTGTACAAAAAAAACACACATTTAAATAAGAAAAAATTAAATTATATAATATCAATATACATATCCTACCTAAAAAAGAAGAAAATAGGAGAGGGCGCTAAAACCAGACAAAAACAAAGTAAAGAGGAGTAGAAAGGAAGTGATTTGAACACAATTGTCAAAAGCATACAGTAAAAATACATAACAGTTAAGTAAAATTGTGGATTTGGTTCATTGCATATGGAGACAACGTACCAAATCTTGTTATTAATTTATTCTCCATATAGATTCTATCTGTAGTGTTACTAGTATATAGTATTCGGTCATGGCGATGTCTGAGATACCATCATGGTTAGGGCTATTGAAATGTTTGGAGACCGGACAGAGAGCTTGTTTATTTATGTTATAGAGGGGTCCTCTGAACCGGTCTCCAAGGCGACGACCTGTCTCTCCTATATATAATTTACCGAACTTTTTTTTCAAATGATGGTGTAAATCATGATGCGACTTGTGCAGGTAAAGCCATCTTTTATTCTGAATATTTCCAGAGGGAAAGTGATCTTATCAGCTTCAATCACGTAGGGACATGAGTTATAAGGCTACGGTTGCAATTTTGTGTGCCTTTATGTGCTTTAATATCAGGGAATTGGCTTCTAACTAGCATGTCCCTGAGGCTCTTATCCCTCCGGAAAGCGAAAAGAGGAGGTTTTCTGAAAATCTCATTTGTGACAGGGTCTGCCATAAGAATGGAGCGGTTTGTCAAAACCAGAAAACGATTTTTTAGGTTATGGGAATCAAAAGTTAAAATAAATTTATACCTATCCCTAGCGTCAGAATGAGTAGCTTTGAAATAATCCTGTCTGGTCATACCTTGAACTCGAGTGACAGCTGCTTTTAAAATTTGTTCAAGGTATAAACTGGGTCGGAAAAAAATACAACATTTCAGCCATTCTTTCCCCAAAATCCTCATCATTACTACAAAGTCTACTGAATCTCAGCAACTGAGAAATGGGATGGAGTTTTTACACCATTGAGGATGGGATGATGAATACAGCAAGAAAAAATGGACGTAGATATTTTGTTCTCATTAATATTAATTTGTAAGTCCAAAAAATTGATGGTGCTCTTATGGATCATTGAAGTGAATTTGATTGTTGGATGAAAATCTGTCCAAAAGGCTTATGTCGAGGGTATGAGAATCACTGTTGTTATGTGTAGAGCGTTGTTGTCATGTTTGATAGGGAAAAGATGTTAGTTACAGATTTTATGTGCAGCCGTATCGTTTGTGTGAGAGTGTTGTGACGTAATTGTGTAGTGGGAAGTGACGCGTTAGTTTTAGTGTGGTTAGAGAAGATACATTGCGGATGTGCTACATGGACTGTTGTGAATGGCAATCCTCCGAAGTCCGGTCCCAAATTATTTCCAATGATTATTTCCTTACTTAAAAGTCTTAAGTATCATTTTGTTTTGAAATTCATTTTTCCGTATATATTTCAATTAATGTGTTCAATTATGACAAATTATGTTAGGGTTGAGCGCATATCGCTAATCATATGTTAACAAGGATACCTATCGTCACGGACGCTTGGCGAGGATATCTAAAATGTCGGTCAGCTCAACAACGGGATTGATGCTCACGCTGTCATAGTGCAAGCGCGTGAATTTGTCGATCCAGTAGACCAGGACACTCACACGGAGACTATTGAAGGACTTTGGATGCATGCGAAACGTAAAGCTCCGCTATCAGAGTCTGAGAGTGGTACCAGTCGTGGTCTGTTTGCCAGCTACTTGGGGACCTTGCAGTGGCGCAACAGTCCCATTCACAACGTTTTATGCTGCTCTTTGCTAATGCTATGTGCCAATGACAACATTTAGTATTTACTGAATGGTTTGTAAATTGACACTTATTTTCAAAAGCTATGACTGACACTTCTGTTGTTTTCTAACAATAAACACTGTGCATTGCAATTTTTTTTTCATTCAAAATAATTTGGGACTGGACTTCGGAGGATAGCCGTTTGGGAATTGCGGTTAATTAATTGAAGAGTTGTGTTGAAAGGATTCGATTGCTGCTCCAACATTAAGTATCAACCTTAGTTGTGAATTGTGGTTAAATAAACTTTTGTTTACAACAAACCGGTTGATGTTTGTTGCATTGGTGACTGTTGCTGTATGATGTACTGCCGAATGGAATGAAGTGAAAGACTTGGCCATACAGAACAAACGCTTCTCGACAGCTTATTTACGCACAATTTCTGACAATCACATAAATAATATTGTTGTTTCAGTATTAGAATACATATTAGAATATTTAAAATTCATTTTTATAAAGAAAAAAAAACCTACAGTATTACTTATAATGAATCAATTAAATAAGCAATACAGATTTTTTTTACTCCAGAATTTGGTTACCAAGATTTCCCCGTGAACACTCGCTTCAAGATTGTGACATCTCTCTCTCCCTCCTGTAGCGATGACTGTAGCCCCCATTGATATGGAGAGTCCACTCGCCATAGGTCAAACAAAGATCAGATATCAATCTCTCAACGGCCCTACAGCTTCAGTCCTGTCTGCCCACAACATCAACTACACGGTGAAGGTGTCAACCAATTTGGGGCTGGTGAAGACTGACAAGGAAATATTATTTAATGTCTCGTATGTGGAATAAAGAACGAATAACGTAAAACTAAATTACTTGAGAGCAATAATTCGTCTATAGAAAGAAATATTATTTTTTTTTGGGGGGGGGGGGTGGTTNTTGAAATTAATTCTCCTAAGTTTATAATAGGTGTTTGATTACATAATGTTTTGTTTGAATTTGTATAATTTTTACGGCTTGAAAAATCAATTAAAAAAAAAACACAAACTACACCAACAAACAACTGATATCTTCCAATTTATGGTAAGGGTGATTTCAGTTATTTTGAACTCTTCAAAAGTAACGCATGATTTTTGTCTCCTATCCAGGGGAATTTTCAAGAAAGGTTTGAACGCTGTACTGGGACCAACTGGCTCAGGGAAATCATCGTAAGTCATTTTGGAGCCTTGTAAAAGGAGCTCTACTTTAAAAAGATATTTGCAAATGGCATGTGCTTTGTATATATATATATATATATATATATATATATATATATATATATATATATATATATATATATATATATATATATACATATGTTATATGACATACTCTTGTCTTCGCGAGACGATGAAGTAGCTATTGATACATCATCTTATGGCTTACTATGCCGATTTTGGCTTAGCAGTCTCGGCTGAAGTTCTCGAAGGAGAACAATGATTTTGGTCAGCTTGGGCCGTCCGTAATGCTCTTAATGTTTCAAGGATTTTATTTTGCGCCTGTTTAACCCCCTCATACTCTGTTGTTTAACCCTCTCATACTCTGTTGTTTAACCCACTCATACACTGTTGTTTAACCCCCTCATTCACTGTTGTTTAACCCCCTCATACAGCAGAACGGTGCTCTTACATACGTTGAATGTTTTGCTGGCTTCCCTCATGTTCCTTTGCAAAGTCTTTAAATGTTAGCCACGGCCGTACAATACGTCTTGCTCCATCTACCAACTCTAAGTAAAGCAGATTCCTGCGAATGCGGCCTTTTCCCATTTACTTAAATGGCATAACCAGCGAAGGCGCATTTTGTCAAGAGCTAAGAACATGCTACACATTTTGGCTTGATCCAAAACCCCAGTGTTGGTCACTTTGTTCAGCCCTCGGCTTCACAAAATGCGATGCAGACATCTTTATTTATGTATAACTTAACACAGTGAGCGAGTAAACATGAATGTAAAACGGAAAAGATTTACACCATAAAACTATTTGTTTAAAACAATTAGGATGTTTCACTCTCTAGTTAAGTCATACGTAATTAACTCTATTACGTAAATCTTTCTACTTTTCAGCTTTCTTGATGTGTTAGCTGGCAGGAAAGATCCAGATGGTGTATCTGGACAACTCCTTTTGGATGGCAAACCTGTGCCTAAAAACTTCAAGTGCATGGTGGGATATGTTGTGCAGGTATAGTAGAGTTTTACATCGATAGAATATGTCATTGTGGGATATGTTGTACATGTATTATTAGAGTTTACTTCAATCTATGTCTTTTCAATGGTTGGTTATTCCGGTCTAAGTATTATGCTGAGTGGTCGATCATTTCCATATGTAAATGTTTGCATTTCAATTTGTGTTTTATTGTATGTGGTTTAGGATGATGTTGTGATGGGAACGCTGTCTATCAGAGAAAACTTTGCCTTCTCTGCTGCCTTAAGACTGCCCACATCGGTTAGGGCGAATGAGAGAAAAGAAAAGATCGACCAGGTTATCAAAGAACTTGGCCTGGAGAGGTGTGCTGACACCAAGGTAAGAAATGTAGTGTTACTAAAATAACTTGATCTCGACAGGTGGGATGCCACCAGGGTAAGAAATGTAGTGTTACTAAAATAACTTTATTTATACAAGTGTGCTGACACCAAGTTAAGTAATGTATTTCCTTTGATGAGGCCAACTGAGCAGCTTTAACCTAACAGTGGGAGAATCGATAAGATCTGCTAAATAGCCTTTAATTATGCTTGGAAAGGATTACATTTTATGACAGTTTCATCTGTCACCAGATTGTCTAAACTGTCTAAATAACGCTTCTAAATGTAATTAAAATGGTTCCAGAGAAGTAAATGTCTGGACACATTCTTCAAAATAGAGAATGTTTCTGTCAATCTAAATACAGAATGTTTCTGTCACTCTAAATACAGAATGTTTCTGTCACTCTAAATACAGAATGTTTCTGTCACTCTAAATACAGAATGTTTCTGTCACTCTAAATACAGAATGTTTCTGTCACTCTAAATACAGAATGTTTCTGTCAATCTAAATATAAAATGTTTCTACCAATCTCAATATCTAATGTTTCTGTCAAAATAAAAATAGAATGTTTCTACCAATCTAAATAGATAATGTTTCAGTCAATCTAAATATAGAATGTTTCTATCAAGCTAATTACATAATGTTTCTGTCTATCTAAATATAGAATGTTTCTAGCAATCTCAATAGATGATGTTTCTGTCAATCTAAATATAGAATGTTTCTACCAATCTCAATAGATAATGTTTCTGTCAATCTAAATATAGAATGTTTCTACCAATCTCAATAGATAATGTTTCTGTCAATTTAAATACATAATGTTTCTGTCAATCTAAATAGAGAATGTTTCTGTCAATCTAAATATAGAATGTTTCTGTCAATCTAAATATGGAATGTTTCTGTCAATCTAAATATAGAATGTTTCTGTCAATCTAAATATAGAATGTTTCTGTCAATCTAAATATAGAATGTTTCTGCCAGGTTGGCAATGAATTTATCCGAGGAGTTTCAGGGGGGGAGAGGAAAAGGTGCAACATTGGCATGGAGCTCATCATCTCCCCTGCCGTGCTATTTTTAGATGAGCCGACGACAGGTCTTGATGCCAACACTGCAAACATAGTTCTCAAGTTTTTGAAAAGGTTTGAATGGTTGTCAGATCAGTGATCCCCCAACAGTGGGGCAATGTTCCCTAAAGCTATGTGAGATGTGTATAGTGTGGCTAAGGATAATTCTTAATGAAGTAATTTAAAATAATGTCGTATAACAAATTGTGTTACAAGTTTTTAGCTAAAGCGCTCATCATAAATTAAAATTTGTCATGAAGAATGATAATATAAATATTTAAAAAAAAATAATGATATTTTGAAATATTTAAATTCAATCATTTAAAAAAGAAGAAAAATTTAAAAAAACTAGATCCCTGAAAGTTAAAAATTTTTTTTTTATTTAAATCATGTCTTCCGGAATATTTATAATTTTGCAAACAAAATAACTAATGAACAGGGACAATTAAAGTAACAGATCTGAGGGGAAAAAAATGTATCTAAACATTTAAAAAAATAGGATATTGTTTTTGTAGAGATCATTCTATTTAAATAAATATGATATTGGTTTATAATCATCATTCTATTTCAAGAAACATGATATTGGTTTGTAATGATCATTTCAAAAAGAAAAAGAAATGTTAAAAAATTGTATATAATCAACATTTGTGCTATTTTTTATAACACAATCTTTGATATATATTTTACAGCCACTTAATATAATTAAACAATACATAGCCTTACTTTTAAGTTTCAAACCTTAGAAATAGTCTTATAACAGCTAACAATAGCATTACAATAGCCTAACAATAGGTTAACAACAGCTTAACACTAGCATGGTAATAGTTCACAGTGAATTAAAAATAACTTAACAATAGCCTGAAATAGATTAATATATAAACCATAGAATAACAATCTATTGACATTAAGAATAGCAATCTATAAACAATAACATAACAATATTTTAACAATAACATAACAATAGATTAACATTGACATAAAAGCTATTAATAATAACATTACATTATATTGAAAATAGAATAACAATCTATGAACATAACAATCTATTAAAAATAATACAACAATCTATTAACAATATTTTTTTAAATACATCGCCATCGGTTGTTCTGTTAAAATCTCCCATAAATTTAATGGCCACTAAATGTATCTGTCTCTCAATGTTTAGTGCAATTATAAGACCCGACTAATATGCACTCCCCATCTGCGTCCCCCGTCTAGCACTTGATGACATACGCACCGGATGCGCACAAAGCATCATCTATTTGATCAAACTTATAGAGCTGACAGTAGTATTTGTACTGGAGCTCCAAAGGGGAAATAGACATACATTTACGAGACTCAAATTGATATGATTCAATATAATAATTAGTATAATCCACGGATCTTATCTTACTGAGAAGAGGTCACTGAATTTTATGATGTTTCTTGGTTTTTTTGTGTTTGTTTCCAGACTGTCTCGCAGAGGAAGGACCATCATCTTCTCCATCCACCAACCCCGTTATTCCATCTATCGTCTGTTTGACAGTTTGATGCTCTTATCTCAAGGTCACACCGTGTATCACGGACCATCGGAGGAAGCTTTGGAATTCTTCACTTCCCAAGGTCAGTGTTGTCTTTACAAGGTCAGTGTTGTCTTGACAAGGTCAGTGTTGTCTTGACACGGTTCGTGTTATCGTAGTACAATCTGAGTTCTTTGGAAAGGATATTCGCATATTTAAAAAAACAACCTAATAAGTTTGAATCAAGATTAATGAATTTCAACATAAGTACTTCAATTAATTTTCCCTATCAGATCAATAATCTTGTGGTAGAAAAGACATATAATGTATGCTATTTAGTAATTTTTAAAACAGTATGTTATAGCCTAAATCAGAGAGGAGTCTGGTGAATATACTCTTAATATGCTCACACATAATCTTTTGGGGCCGAGCTACTCGTCTTAATGGGCAATGCAAATCTTCATGAACTATCTATATTAAGTGGGCTTAGGACTCAACTAGACATCCCAACTCCAACAGAATTCCCCACTCCACTGGACCTCCCCACTCCACCGGAAATCCCCACTCCACCAGACCTCCCCACTCCACTGTACCTCCCCACTCCACTGTACCTCCCCACACAGCCCTTAAAAGATGTGTATTGTTTGTTGTAGTATCTGTAGTGGTCTTCAATGCATCGGCATTCTCCAATTTTTCCCATGCTAGAGAGTTAGTGTCAAAACAGTCCTACTTTATGGTGCATAAACTTGGAAAACAACAGTGAGCCTTATGCAGAAAGTGCAGACTTTCATAAACACATGCCTTAGAAAGATCCTTAAAATCAAATGGCCAAATACTATCACCAACAAAGATCTACTAGAAAGGACATACCAGGTGCCAATCGATGAAGATATCATAATGAAAATATGGAGATGGATAGGGCAGACGCTCCAAAAAACCGCCCAGATAGCACCAACAGACAATGCCTAACATGGAACCCACAGAGAAAAAGAAAGAGAGGAAGGCCTAAGAATACATGGAGACGTGAGCTAGAGGCAGACACGCAAAATATGGGATACACCTGGAAGCCATTGGAAAGGAAAGCACAGGACCATGATGAGTGGAAAGTTCTTGTAGACGGCCTATGCCCCAGACGGGGTAGAAAGGCATAAGTAAGTACGTAATAGATTGAATCGAAGGGTTACATACTATTCAAAAAGACTTTGATTTTGAACTTCTAGGCTACGTCTGTCAGGAACATAACAACCCTTCAGATTTTTTCTTGGATGTCATAAACGGAGACCCAACAACATTTGCCGCTAATGGCATGAGCGTTGATGAACAAGTTGAATCTGACCTTGAAAGTAAGTTATTCCTTTTTTTCTCACTCATACCAAATTTTTAAAAAAAATTGATAATAAAATAAATTAAATGTGTTTATTTCACAAAGTTTAATTTGCTCTAGACAAACTTCTTGGACACAAATACAAAGACTTCAAACTAGACATGCATCATTTCTTTTTCTTAAATTAAAAAAAAAAACAGCCTATTGCTTTCTTTATCCAAACAGATTCTCAAAGTCAACATGGAAAATTAGTGGCAGGATTTAAAGATTCAATATGGAACTCAAAGTAATTTAATTTTTAATTAAAAAAAAATCTTATAGTTATAAATAACACGAAGAATAAAAACGTAATATTGCTATATGACCTACAGAAAATGAGATTTTGTGATTTAGATTTTATTTTTATAGTTGTTGAAGAAAAGAAAGTTGCAAGAATTTTAGTCTCAACTCTGAATCTCATAGCTTCAAGACTTAAAAGTCCTTTGTTTCAATTCGTACCTCTTAAAATGTGTCTTTTGAATACGTGTGTGTCTCTATATAAAATTGTGTGTGTGTTTAGGCTTCAAGAAGAAGCAGCGGACATTTGGAAAAATTTTGAAGCTAATGGAGGCGTCATGGGTCAACATCATGAAGCTCTTGATTACGTTACGCCATTTGGCCATCAAGTAGGTCAAGAGAAAACTTATTTTTTTCAACTTATTAGTTAAAAATGAACATAATAAACGGAAACATCAATGAATTTTATCAATAATTTGGTGTAAATATTTGAATAATTCTTAAAACTTATGGTTAATATTAAACTTAAAAGTGTATGCGAGATTTCAAATACTAATTATGTGGACAACTGTATGCGAGATTTCAAATACTAATTATGTGGACAACTGTATGCGAGATTTCAAATACTAATTATGTGGACTACTGTATGCGAGATTTCAAATACTAATTATGTGGACAACTGTATGCGAGATTTCAAATACTAATTATGTGGACAACTGTATGCGAGATTTCAAATACTAATTATGTGGACAACTGTATGCGAGATTTCAAATACTAATTATGTGGACAACTTTATGCGAGATTTCAAATACTAATTATTTGGACAACTGTATGCGAGATTTCAAATACTAATTATTTGGACAACTGTATGCGAGATTTCAAATACTAATTATTTGGACAACTGTATGCGAGATTTCAAATACTAATTATTTGGACAACTGTATGCGAGATTTCAAATACTAATTATTTGGACAACTGTATGCGAGATTTCAAATACTAATTATTTGGACAACTGTATGCGAGATTTCAAATACTAATTATTTGGACAACTGTATGCGAGATTTCAAATACTAATTATTTGGACAACTGTATGCGAGATTTCAAATACTAATTATTTGGACAACTGTATGCGAGATTTCAAATACTAATTATTTGGACAACTGTATGCGAGATTTCAAATACTAATTATTTGGACAACTGTATGCGAGATTTCAAATACTAATTATTTGGACAACTGTATGCGAGATTTCAAATACTAATTATTTGGACAACTGTATGCGAGATTTCAAATACTAATTATTTGGACAACTGTATGCGAGATTTCAAATACTAATTATTTGGACAACTGTATGCGAGATTTCAAATACTAATTATTTGGACAACTGTATGCGAGATTTCAAATACTAATTATTTGGACAACTGTATGCGAGATTTCAAATACTAATTATTTGGACAACTGTATGCGAGATTTCAAATACTAATTATGTGGACAACTGTATGCGAGATTTCAAATACTAATTATGTGGACTACTGTATGCGAGATTTCAAATACTAATTATGTGGACAACTGTATGCGAGATTTCAAATACTAATTATTTGGACAACTGTTTGTCTCAGATTCTGGTCCTGGCCAAAAGAGCTATGATGAATATGTTGAGAAATCCACAGACAAGTATCCTCACGGTAATTATTCTCTTTAGATTTCTACATTTACTTTGGATGTGTCGTTATAGGGCCACAATGTGTCGTTATAGGGCCACAATGTGTCGTTATAGGGCCACAATGTGTCGTTATAGGTCCACAATGAGTCATTATGTGGCCACAATGTGTCGTTATAGGGCCACACTGTGTCGTTATAGGGCCACAATGTGTCGTTATAGGGCCACAATGTGTCGTTATAGGGCCACAATGTGTCGTTATAGGGCCACAATGTGTCGTTATAGGGCCACAATGTGTCGTTATAGGGCCACAATGTGTCTTATATGGCCACAATGTGTCGCTATAGGGCCACATAGTTTGTATCAACTACATACAAAATACACCTATTATAAATATTATGCTTACACACATTTTGAATCAAATAATATATCAGTATTATTTCTTATATAACAATATATTCTTAGACTAAATTTACCAGCTAAATTTGCTTTTCTAAAATGTTTCAACAAGAATATTATTTTTCGAAGAACTGACTAACCCTGTAACTTGTTTGAAACGTCTAAACATAAAATCTGTTCTATAATTGTCCAGGTGTTCACCTCTCTGTTTCTAGCCCTACTTATCAGTGTGTTATACTGGCAACTTGGTGATAATCCAAACCGCGCCTTCAAAGATAGGTGAGATTATTATAAGTTTATATTGTGTTGATTTCATATTAGTGTTAAGATAAGAGACTTTTTAAAAGACCATGTGTTACTCACCTACTTTGTAGAACCTATTTTAACAACAATATAATTCTCCATAAACGCTCAATGTTCATTTTAAATCTTCATTAAAAAAAAAAAATTATTTCTTGAAACCAATATTTCTTTTTTTACAATAGCGAAATACAGTATGTAACATAATACAGTATGAAAAAAATGAAGGTACTGAAACTCCAGCATATTGAACGCGCATATGCGTTTGTCAAAGGTGCATAGTTCCAGCTGCTACGTGCATAGTTCCAGCTGCTACGTGCATAGTTCCAGCTGCTACGTGCATAGTTCCAGCTGCTACGTGCATAGTTCCAGCTGCTACGTGCATAGTTCCAGCTGCTACGTGTTCCTCATGCAAAGGAAGATCTTTGAGCCATGTGTAGTTGGAAGTGATTTTCTAGACGAAGAAAAACGTATTGACAGCTGAATTCTAGTTTCGCTCTTACGCCAAGTCCTGAGTGAAAACAGATCTTAAAAAAAAGGTTTTTACAAATTACAAGAGAAATTTAATAAGCTTGTAACACGGCTATATTGTCTAATGTTTTGACTTTAAGCCTCTCTGGAAATTTAGACTGTCAAGGGAAAGGGACGTTTGGCTGAAGAGTGGGACAACATTGCTGTAGACAATAGGGAACTATAGATGGTAGAGGAGTGGGAGCAATATAGAGGTAGAAGAGCTGGACAATATAGGAGTAGAGGAGTGGGGGAAAACATGGATTTAGAAGAGTGAGGGACAACATAGATGTAGAAGAGTGGGGCAACATAGCTGTAGAAGAGTGGGGGACGAAATAGATGTAGAAGAGTGGGGGAAACATAGCTGTAGAAGAGCAGGGCAACATAGATGTAGAAGAGCAGGGCAACAAAGTTATAGAAGAACAGGTCAACATAGATTAGAAGAGTGGGGGACAACATAGATGTAAAAGAGTAAGGGAAAACATAGATGTAGAAGAGCAGGACAACATAGAAGTAGAATTGTGGGGGCAACATAGATGCAAAAGAGCATGGCAACATCTCTTTAGAAGAGTTGAAAAACGTAGCTGGTAGAGGACAAAATTGCATTAGAAGAGTGAGTAGGGCAACACAGTTGTATACGTGTAAGGACACATAACCGTAGAAGAGTGAGAAACATAGCTGGTAGAGGAGTGGGAGCATCTGAAAGAGCTGCTGGCGCCTTATGTACCCACTAGACGACTCCGCTCATCCGATAGTGGCAAACTCTCGACACCACGTGTTCGCCTTGAGACTTACGGAAAGCGCACTTTCGCATTTGCTGGTCCAACAATTTGGAACGCCCTTCCTGTTGTTCCCAGAAACAACCAGACACTGGAGTCCTTTAAAACCGATTTAAAGGCACATCTATTTCGCAAACACCTTCTGGGATGATTGTCTACCATATTTTCCATTTAATGCATATTGGTTGTGTTGCTTAGGGTTGAAATTGCTAGAAAGACTTTGATATTGTATGCTTGTAATTAGTTTTTGTAGTGTTGCGTTTGTTTTAAATGTGGTAAATTATAGATATGTTTTGTTTTTTGTTGACTTTGTACCGTGCTTCGAGCCTTTTGGGATGAAGCTTGTTTTTGAAATGAACTTTATTATTATTATTATCTAAGATGTAGAAGAGTGGTAGCACTATAGTTGTAAAAGAGTAAAGCAACATAGCCGTAGAAGAGAAATACACCTGTAGAAGAGTGAGTTGGGCAATATAGCTGCAGAAGAGTTGTAACACCATAGCTGTAGAAGAGTGGAAAAACAAAGCTGGTAGAAGACCCTGAGGTACTCTCTACTAGATCCTTGCCTATCTCCAATATTAGTTTGCACACGTGGAGCATATGTCAGACCTAACCGAGTGGCATTATATTAACCACAAATGATCTTATAGTTAGGATTACACCAGCACGCACACACCAGCACGATGTAAGACTACGCGCAGGGCTGTGCGTCTATAAAGGATAATCGCTAAGTGGGTAATGCTGTACGCGCCAACGTAATGTGAACATCGGCACAGATCAACATGTGTTACTAGGACTATATAAATATATCGTCGCTCGTCTCATACGCACGCACGCGTGGGTCTGGAAAAGACATGACGCGCAGCCGTATATTTTAACTATTGCGTTATCGTTGTTAAGGACTTCCTTCACGAGCCTGGGTCGTTGTTAAGGACTTCCTTCACGAGCCTGGGTCGTTGTTAAGGACTTCCTTCACGAGCCTGGGGCTCTATCAACTTGAAAATACTGCTTAACAAAATGTACAGGAATTAGCGCATTACAACGACGTAATCAAAGGTGCTCTAAAATATAAGAATATAAACATTGGCATCGCTGCTTACAAAATAGCCATACACAGACAGTGGAAGAGCTAAAAACAAATGCTGTTTGCTACAATTCAAAATGAGCGGCTTTTATGGAACTGCCTGGTGTAGCACACGCAGGAAAACATTGCCGTTTGCGTCACGTGCAGTGGCGTAGCGAGGGTGTTTGGCGCCCGGGGACAAGATTCGCGCCCGGGGACAAGATCCATTTTTAGCGCCCCTTTTTCTTTTTTTTCAACTCTCAAACCCATTATTTTCATCAATAAAATAATATCAAAGCACATTTTGGCGCCCCTAACTAGCTGGCGCCCGGGGACATCTGTCCCCCCCTGCCCCCACCATGCTACGCCTCTGGTCACGTGTTTGCCATAGGTCAACCGTGGTGTAAGGATTGTCCCTGGCGTGTGTAAATAACCAAACAAGAGTTTAAGGCCCTAGCATCTCAGTGGGTGTAGACGTGCCTGGTGTTACCCACATGAGTGACACTTAGAGTGCTCGCTCCTTATTTCTATGGTTGGCACAGGGCTACGTAATCATGGTAAATCGTTTAATTTACGTTTATATTAAAACAAAATTGGAACTCGGAGCAGTGGAAAATTTTAATAGCTCTGCTCCAAATCCTTGTTTCCAATGACAACTGCCCAATAATCTTTCATTTCAATCTTAGAAATACGTCACATTTGGAATTACGCAGTAGAGGAGTGGGAGCATTCAACATGCCGGAGTTTTAGAACTGTCACTTTTGGTGTTCGCTTCATTAGCTTTTGATAGCAGCGATAGAGGAGTGGGAGCATTCAACATGCCGGAGTTTTAGAACTGTCACTTTTGGTGTTCGCTTCATTAGCTTTTGATAGCAGCGGTAGAGGAGTGGGAGCATTCAACATGCCGGAGTTTTAGAACTGTCACTTTTGGTGTTCGCTTCATTAGCTTTTGATAGCAGCGGTAGAGGAGTGGGAGCATTCAACATGCCGGAGTTTTAGAACTGTCACTTTTGGTGTTCGCTTCATTAGCTTTTGATAGCAGCGGTAGAGGAGTGGGAGCATTCAACATGCCGGAGTTTTAGAACTGTCACTTTTGGTGTTCGCTTCATTAGCTTTTGATAGCAGCGGTAGAGGAGTGGGAGCATTCAACATGCCGGAGTTTTAGAACTGTCACTTTTGGTGTTCGCTTCATTAACTTTTGATAGCAAAGAAGTAGCAACGCTTTATAGAATGACATATTTGATAAGCGAATGCTTTAAAATGCTCTTTAATAAAATATGGATTAATAATCCAATAATCATTATCTAATAATGTCTGTTACACATATTTAATAAAAAAATTTGACCCATATTTGGGATCGTATCTTTACAGACGTCGTGACGTCAAATTCTGTTGTTTACTTCTACTGAAATAAGTTGTTTTAACAATCATTTGAATTGGCTTCTTTGTGTTGATCACGTCATCAGATCGGGTGTTTTGTTTCTAGTCATCATGAAACAGCTCTTCATCAACTTGACCGCCATCCAAGTCTTCATACAGGAAAGGAAGTATTTTATGTAAGAATAGTGAGATTGTCTCCATTCGGTCCGTGGTTCCCTCAATAGCCATATATTTCTCATACGGTTTCCGAGAATTCTTAAAATTTCATAATTACGTTTCCATTTTCAATTTGTTGTGAAAAAAACCAAACACAATAATAAAAAAGAAAAAAAAAAGAGTTGTTTGGTTATTTCGTAGAGTGCTTGTTAGATTTTAACACAGGGGACTTGAGAAAACTTGGAGTTAGCAAGGGGGCTTAGGAGCGAAAAGTTTGGGTACAACAGCGTAAGGTATGTGGTTAGGGGGTGGTAAGGGAGTGGTTAGGGGGTGGTTAGGTGGTGGTTAGGCGGTGGTTAGAGGGTGGTTAGGTGGTGGCTAGGGGGTGGTTAGGGAATGGTTAGGGGGTGGTTAGGGAATGGTTAGGGGGTGGTTTTAAATTAGTTTTTAAACATTTTTTTTTAAAAACAAAATTAAATTTTAGTTAAAAGAAACTAGACGGTTGTTCTACTGCAGACTTATGGATGCTTGTTTGGGGTTTAAAGGTGAGTGTTTGTTGACAGACTCTTGAATTTACGGTCTGCAGACTATTGTATGTTCCCAAAACAAAAGGAACCTTAGAATTAAATTTAATTAGTTTTTAAAAAAAAATATTTGAGATAATCTTCATTTGTGTCCATCTCACGATGTCCACAGGCATGAAAGTATCAGTGGATTCTACAGAGTCTCTGTCTACTTCCTAGTCAAAATTATTTTTGATATATTACCACTGAGGCTTTTTCCTTTAATCCTCTCGTCTGCCATAATTTACTTTGCTGTTGGTAAGTCTATTGTTTTATAAGTGACTACAGATTCATTGTTTACTTTGCTGTTGGTAAATCTAATGTTTTTATAACTGACTACAGATTCATAGTTACAGTGCTGTTGGTAAATCTAATGTTTTTATAAGTGACTACAGATTCATAGTTACAGTGCTGTTGGTAAAGTCTAATCTTTTAGAACTCATTAAAAGTTTTGTTGCCCCCTATTTACTGTTATTCAAAATAAATTTTAATAGGTGGAAGATGTGAACACTATATTTTTGATCAAGCCACTCTATTGTCTGTATGTTGATGCTGTCATATAAATTTCGTTGGATCCTCTCTCCTTTTTATTAAGGATATGCTGTATGCATGTATGTGTGTGTATCTAGGAAGGATTGATTTGCTAGTGATATTTCATTTGGTGCCAAGTAGTGTATTCACAAAGAACTTTAAGCATACAGACAAAAGAATGTCACTACTATCCATTTCAAAAAGATACTTTCTTGAACCCATGGGAGAACTCGTAAGCGCTGTCTCATCCCACTTATCTTTTTCTGCCCTCTGGGATAATAGTTTTTTAGCTAAGGCTGGGATAATAGTTTTTAGCTAAGGCTGGGATAATAGTTTTTAGCTAAGGCTGGGGATAATAGTTTTTAGCTAAGGCTGGGGATAATAGTTTTTAGCTAAGGCTGGGATAATAGTTTTTAGCTAAGGCTGGGATAATAGTTTTTAGCTAAGGCTGGGATAATAGTTTTTAGCTAAGGGGTATTTTAAAATTTAATTCTGTTTTTTTTCCCTGTTGTGTGTTCGCTGACTATACTCATTTCCCTTGTTTGCTAACCTGATGGCAGCCTCTTCCTCCCCTCATTACCATTTTTTTAGAACAGCTAAGGGAGGGTAACCAAAGTTTTCATTTTCGCACTGGACACTTAACGCAATAGGTGATCAACTTTTCAAGTGCCCGAACTACCCAACAACAAATGACTCTCAGTCGATCTGAAAGCACCAATTACAATAAGTAGATATCAAATCTGAAGTTTATGCAATAGAAATATGATGAGACTACAAGAAATAAACAGAGAGATTTTTTTGTGTGTGCGTCTAGCCTAGGATTTAAACAGGGTACAACGTCATTGTTATGTTTATGTGTCTTGTAACCCAGGTCTCAATGACGGTGCTGACCACTTCTACAAGTACACGTTTTGTCTGTTCTGCACAACGATGACAGCTGCTGGCATGTGTTTCCTCGTCAGCGCGTCAGTGGGCGTGTTTGCTGTTGCACAGCTGCTGTTAGCCCTGCTGTACATGACCATGATGGTGAGGGCAAATAGCTGTTTAAGAAACGGAGAATTATAAACGTATAAAGTATCCAATGTTGTAATTGCACTATGAAAACATCTGAACGAATAGCACCATGACCCCCAAGCCTCACCAAGCCAATGGGATCGGATTTTTAGTTTTGTAGTTTTTCGTAGTCCCATGTGAGAGCTGAGCAGTATTTTGGCGCGCCAAAGAAACACCAGGGAGTTTGATTACACCACGACCAGAGACTAACTCCCCAGGTCAAGAACAATCATGAGAAAAAAACAATTACCACAATCATGAAGACTGTGAGTGAACAGGTACAAACTGATAAGTTGAAACATAAATGAACACATCTATTTGACATTGCAAGTTAATCTGAGAAGATGTATTGTTTTAGAATTCCTATCTATTTTTTTGTTCATCAAAACAGGGACATGTTTCTGCTCATGTTGATGTGTAAATATAAATGAAGTCATTTAAATACCACCGTCATGGACTTTTCTGGCTTGAGGTATTAAAAAAAGTTTGAATACTTAACTGATTTAATTCTTTGAGTTAGTTTTCACTATCACAACTAGAACTGGATGTTGGTTTTGTTAACAGTTGTTTGCAGGATTCCTGATCAACTTTGATTCTATCGGACCGTGGTTAAACTGGGCACAGTACCTCAGTTTCTACAAGTACTCTTTAACAGTAAGTACCGATTCTTGAATCATAAACTAGCTACCAAGTACAATTTTTGTTCTCGTAGCATATCTTCATACATTGAAATGTTGACTTGGAATGACTGCGTAGTTGTATCATCAAACGTGGATTGAAAAATTTACTTTAAAAAAAAAAAAAATATCTAAATTTATGTTTTTTATGTCTTTTTGAATAGCTTCACTTTTGTTTGTAGCTGGATGGGTGGCAAAATCTTCCCACTTCCCTTCTGCCTATCGAGCTGAAACTTGGCACATAGACTCAGCGTCGATGACGACACATTCTATTAATTTTCTCAGCCCCACCCCCCAAAAAAATCAGTTTTGCCTGGCAGCAGGGAGGAAAATTGCCGATAGCTTCGCTAAATGAGATTCTTAACACAAAAAATATGGCAAGTAAATTTGGTGCGTAATATTCTCTATGGCTTTTCCCGAAATAGCTGTGAAATAAATCTGTGAGGCTAAGACGAGTGGGCCAATAGAATATTAATGTGGTTCAGAGGCGCAAAAAAAAAATTTAAAAAAAAAAAAAAAAAAAATGCGTGGTTGCAAGCCCCGGGGGGGAGGGGCGGAGGGGGGGAGGGGGGAGGAGCCTCATTTGGGATTCTTATGAATCGCACTACTTGTATGCATGTTGCATGTTTTGTCAAACTCTCAGCCCCATACCCTTGCTAATTATGACATTTTATCAAAGAGTTATACGAAAAGACTTGTTTTTAAGGATGGTTTAATTAAGAATCAGTTTTGTGTGGCGTTGATAGCTGTTTAAAATAAATCCTTTAAATTCGTGGGTGGTTGGCCGGCTCGTGAAATCTTCGAATGGCTACTTGACCCCATGTCCCGTCAAACTATCGTGCTGAAACTCGGAACATAAACTCGTGGCCCATGACAACACCCTTTATCTAAATGATCATACCCCAGCCCTCATTGCCCGATATCACATTTTATGAAGGATTTATAAATGTTTCTAAGGGTTGTTCAATTTAGTTTGAGGATTCTTTGGTGTTGCTATCGAATTGTTCAAATTGTTATCACATATGCGAGCACCACTCATTTCAAATTATTAAACAAAAATCGTGTTTGATCTTCATCTACAATTAAATCTTTAAACGTATGCTGGTATATCTGTATCATTTAAATACCGTCATGTCCCAGATTTTGTTAAACTTAATCTAAACAATAATGCTCGACTTTTGAACTTTCTCTAAGGCTTATCCTAAACTTAATTTACTAACTAAGCCCTAAGTTAAACAACAAGTTGACATCCATTTGTGAGATTTAAAAATAAATTGTTTCCATAGGCCTTGTACATCAATGAGTTTAAGGGAAGATCGTTCTGTGTCAACAAGACTTACTGGTGAGTTATTGAAAACAAGACTTACTGGTGAGTTATTTAAAACAAGACTTACTGGTGAGTTATTGAAAACAAGACTTACTGGTGAGTTATTGAAAACAAGACTTTCTGGTGAGTTATTGAAAACAAGACTTACTGGTGAGTTATTGAAAACAAGACTTACTGGTGAGTTATTGAAAACAAGACTTACTGGTGAGTTATTGAAAACAAGACTTACTGGTGAGTTATTGAAAACAAGACTTACTGGTAAGTTATTGAAAACAAGACTTACTGGTGAGTTATTTAAAACAAGACTTACTGGTGAGTTATTGAAAACAAGACTTACTGGTGAGTTATTGAAAACAAGACTTACTGGTGAGTTATTTAAAACAAGACTTACTGGTGAGTTATTGAAAACAAGACTTACTGGTGAGTTATTGAAAAAAAGACTTACTGGTGAGTTATTTAAAACAAGACTTACTGGTGAGTTATTTAAAACAAGACTTACTGGTGAGTTATTTAAAACAAGACTTACTGGTGAGTTATTTAAAACAATACTTACTGGTGAGTTATTTAAAACAAGACTTACTGGTGAGTTATTTAAAACAAGACTTACTGGTGAGTTATTTAAAACAAGACATATTGGTTCCGCTTTACCTGACATCCGACGAAGTCAGTTTTATATTCACTACGTGACATTGCGCTTCCCAGACACAATTAAAAAATAAATAAATTGTTGCCGCATTTGTGAGCGAAGAACAGTTTTAAATATTTGGTTCAAAACTCTAGAAATTCAGGTCCTGAGAACTGAAGCTTTTATTCTTTGAGTGTTTTATAAAGGAATGGGAGAGGTAAGGCCACGTAGAGTTTTGAAGAGAAAGGACAAAATGTGAAGCAAAAAACAACAAGAAATAGCGCCGGTTGTTTAATGTCCTGACTAAAATTGAACAGCACAACCAACGATATGAAGGAAAATTCCCGATAACTGCGCTGAATGAGAGTCTTTAAAAAAAATATTGGTCGTGTGTTTGGTGCGTACTGTTTTATTTTGCTCTCTTGTAAACGAATCTTGCATTCCTTCATGCTTACCACAAAAGACACTTCTTCCTGATGTCATAGAGTCTTGCATTCCTTCATGCTTACCACAAAAGACACTTCTTCCTGATGTCATAGAGTCTTGCATTCCTTCATGCTTACCACAAAAGACACTTCTTCCTGATGTCATAGAGTCTTGCATTCCTTCATGCTTACCACAAAAGACACTTCTTCCTGATGTCATAGAGTCTTGCATTCCTTCATGCTTACCACAAAAGACACTTCTTCCTGATGTCATAGAGTCTTGCATTCCTTCATGCTTAACACAAAAGACACTTCTTCCTGATGTCACTGAGTCTTGCATTACTTCACGATTACAATGAAATCGAACGAATTTCGGCTTAGGTTTCGGCGCCGAAAGTTCCATTTGATTACTTTTGGCGTAGTTTCGGTTTCGGCCGAAACAGAAAAGTTAAGTTTCTATGTAATTTCGGTTTAGGTGGAAAAGTGATTGAGACTTTCGGCTGTCTGGCCGAAAATAATTGAGGCATTCGGTCTTCTACAAGATTTTAGACTGTCAAACTTGTCTGTCGGCCGAAAATCAGATATTTGTTATTGATCGAAGTCTTGCTGTCATTGTATAAATGTCACAAATCTTGTGCGAACACAGTTCACAACTGCAAGATAACTTACTTGTCAAATATTTCCAAAAATTAAATTTCAATACGGCAAAGGGAAAGGTAAATAGTTTTGTGGTGACAAAACCTCTAGAGGAAAGGTGATATTTATACGATTAGTTTTGTTTTAATTCTTTTTTAAAAAAATGGGAATCCCAGGCGTATTCAAGTCATTCATTTCATTTCTCATTATCTTGCTCATAAAGGTTGTCTGAGTCAAGATAAACTATTATTAAAAAATATATTTTTTTTAAAGAAATGGTCACATTTCGTTTATTATTTTTTAAAATTATTCTTTTATTCTTTTTAATTATGTACTAATATGTATTAATAAAAAAATAGAATTACTATGATGTTGTTGAGTCTTATTTATTTAATGTTATTTAACACACATTTTATAGCTTAATTTTACTAATATTATCCAATTTTAAATAAGTCATTGACTGTTATGTCAATAATTTTACAATTCCTTTGATTATAATTATAAAACAAAGAATTATAGCGAAGGGCCTATAATATAATGATAAATAACACAAGACTCTAAGACTCAAACAAACCGCAAAGGCACACATAAAGTGGGCAAAGTTTTAAATATTAAATTAACCTAACAATTAATTGAAATTTATTATTATATAGATAAAACAATACTAATTTAAATTTGGTCCTGAAGAGATTTGTAGTAATACTAATTTATAGCAGTATGAGCACTTCCTTGTGTCAATTGTTTGAGAATCACTTAAGAAAAGACAAATAAAATTACCAAAAAAAAGTTTTAAAGTCATTATTTCGCGGTGCACAGAATGTGTGCGAAAACGAGTTTTGAATTATTGAAATCTTTCGGTTTCGCTCGAAAGTCACGTTAAACTTTTGGTTTCGGCTTGGAATGTCATCGAATCTTCCATTCCTTTAATTTGAGATTTAGTTTTTGTCTAATGACTCAGCCATACCACAGGGGATGCTTCTATGATAATGTGTTTATTAACGTACATCACACAAGGCACATCTGGTATAGCCACTAGTTGGTTATATGAAGACACACACTGTGTTTCTGTGTGTCTCATTGTTTTAATACAAGTCCCACTGTTTAGGACACAGTACTTTACCACCAAGTTGTCAAGCAAAATAATACATAAAAACTAGTTTATTTAATAAATATATGAAAATTATAATTAATCTATACGATAGAATTCTCAGCCACAGATTTTCTTGTATGCTAAAACACAATATTATTTAGATTTATATAAAAAAAACTTGAATGATACAGTCATCAGTTATCCTGTGTAAGATTCCAAACATATATGACATATTTTATGTGTGTGTATGGACATTTTGTTTGCCCTAAGTTCTATTACCATATGATTATGTTTGCCGTAAGTTCTATAACCATATAATTATGTTTGTCCTAAGTTCTATTACCATATGATTATGTTTGCCCTAAGTTCTATAACCATATGATTATGTTTGCCCTAAGTTCTATAACCATATGATTATGTTTGCCCTAAGTTCTATAACCATATGATTATGTTTGCCCTAAGTTCTATAACCATTTGATTATGTTTGCCCTAAGTTCTATAACCATATAATTATGTTTGTCCTAAGTTCTATTACCTTATGATTATGTTTGTCCTAAGTTCTACAACCATATGATTATGTTTGCCCTAAGTTCTATAACCATATGATTATGTTTGCCCTAAGTTCTATAACCATATGATTATGTTTGCCCTAAGTTCTATAACCATATGATTATGTTTGCCCTAAGTTCTATTACCATATGATTATGTTTGCCCTAAGTTCTATAACCATATGATTATGCTGGCCCTAAGTTCTATAACCAAATAAATTATGTTTCCTTCCAACAGTGAATCAGGGGATACATATCTCTCTATGCAAGACATGGACTACACAGAACCATGGGACTTCTGGCAGAACTACGTCGCTATGGCAATTTATACAGTTTGTCTGTTTGTCCTGACGTACATTCAACTGAGGCGTATGAAGAAAACAACATAAGTCCCATATGTTATATTGCGCTAACATAGAATTGTTATGTGATGTGTATGGAAGTCAAAATAAAAACAATTGTTTTTTACTGTATTTCTCCTTTTACTTGTCATGAGCCACCAAAACCCTGAGCTAGACGGAGACTCGAATACATCAGTCAGAGAGTTTTTTTTTGGTGTTAATTAAGCACTCAGCAGCCGCTATATTTAGGGCATATGTTGGATTCGATACTTACAATAACCCTTACTATGTTTACATGATTCGATACTTACAATAACCGTACTATGTTAACTATGTCTGTGTAAATACTGTAGTCCGTTCTAAAGGTGTCTCTCGAAAATTACCAAAAGATAAATGTGTATAAAAATAATTACTAAAATTAAAAAAAAAATTTTTTTCAAGGTGTACAAAGTAAATAAATATGATGTCTTGTTTATATTTCTAAACAATATGACGATGGTGAAGACTTCGCTGGACGAAATCCACAAGGCCTGTGGATTATTCTTCTAGTATTCTAAGCTGGTTCCCAACAGCAAATCGCCTATCTCCACGCCGCTGGATACAAGTAGATGATGCAGCTTTGGCACCCGTGGCGTCGCAGGAGTTGCTCCAATGTTATCCACCTACGGGACTCCATCTCCGGGTTTTGAATTCAGAGACTTTCCTTCTCTTAGATGAGTTGCCATCCAAGGTTAACGAGTCCCATCCACCCGGGATGGTGCTGGTGATGTTTTTGCTTGACTGGAATTCAACTCCAGACCAACAGCTTGCGATTTTCTCAGTTTAAACCACCCAGCACCCCCTTCTAATCATTTATTCTTTCAAGAATAATATATTTTACTGAGGACTGAAAAAAAACAACAGTATACAAAAAAAAAAAAAAACCAACAAAAAAACAACAAAATATACCAAAACAAATCAAAATAACACTAAACAATTAATTTATGTCATAATAATAATAATAAAAACAACATATTTGCAAACACAAAATTTAGAGTAAAGTGAAACTAAAATGTTTCGTATAATGCAATGATGATTTCTATAGAACAATGTGGTAAGAAGCAAGTATCCCCAAGATCATAAATAAACAGAACATGCCTCGCGGTTTTCTCGTTATGTCAGCACGCATAAGCATTCGGGGAAAAAGTAAGACTGCCTTATATACCCAAGAAGAAAGAAATGCCTCTCAAGGTAAAAATCCGGAGATCTACAATGTTTGTCTCGAAATCTCTGGTGTGTCTAAAAACAAAAATTCACACGAGATCAACTGAATGCTTGGGAAGGGCCAGGGAGTCACTGGTGGTGACCGTAGGGAGGGTTAAGGCAGTCACTGGTGGTGAGTGAAGGGAAGGTTAAGGCAGTCACTGGTGGTGAGCGTAGGGAGGGTTAAGGCAGTCACTGGTGGTGAGCGTAGGGAGGGTTAAGGCAGTCACTGGTGGTGAGCGTAGGGAAGGTTAAGGCAGTCACTGGTGGTGAGCGTAGGGAGGGTTAAGGCAGTCACTGGTGGTGAGCGTAGGGAGGGTTAAGGCAGTCACTGGTGGTGAGCGTAGGGAAGGTTAAGGCAGTCACTGGTGGTGAGCGTAGGGAGGGTTAAGGCAGTCACTGGTGGTGAGCGTAGGGAGGGTTAAGGCAGTCACTGGTGGTGAGCGTAGGGAAGGTTAAGGCAGTCACTGGTGGTGAGCGTAGGGAGGGTTAAGGCAGTCACTGGTGGTGAGCGTAGGGAGGGTTAAGGCAGTCACTGGTGGTGAGCGTAGGGAAGGTTAAGGCAGTCACTGGTGGTGAGCGTAGGGAGGGTTAAGGCAGTCACTGGTGGTGAGCGTAGGGAGGGTTAAGGCAGTCACTGGTGGTGAGCGTAGGGAGGGTTAAGGCAGTCACTGGTGGTGAGCGAAGGGAAGGTTAAGGCAGTCACTGGTGGTGAGCGTAGGGAGGGTTAAGGCAGTCACTGGTGGTGAGCGTAGGGAGGGTTAAGGCAGTCACTGGTGGTGAGCGTAGGGAGGGTTAAGGCAGTCACTGGTGGTGAGCGAAGGGAAGGTTAAGGCAGTCGCTGGTGGTGAGCGTAGGGAGGGTTAAGGCAGTCACTGGTGGTGAGTGAAGGGAAGGTTAAGGCAGTCGCTGGTGGTGAGCGTAGGGAGGGTTAAGGCAGTCACTGGTGGTGAGCGAAGGGAAGGTTAAGGCAGTCGCTGGTGGTGAGCGTAGGGAGGGTTAAGGCAGTCACTGGTGATGAGCGAAGGGAAGGTTAAGGCAGTCGCTGGTGGTGAGTGAAGGGAAGGTTAAGGCAGTCACTGGTGGTGAGCAAAATAAATGTGTCACTAAGATGAGTGCCGAAACAAAGGATTGGGGGTTGGGGGGGGGGATATTAAGGTCAAGAAACGTGACAAAACCACTTCAAGACGTACCAAAGAACTTCAGGGTTCACTTATTTGTTGAGGGCCGTTAAAAATCATTTGAACTGAAAAACAAAAGGTTCGACCAAATTTCCGTTCGATCAAATTACCGTCAACGAAATTTCTTTCGATCAAATTTCCGGCAAGCATCCGTGAAATGATTCACAGGTTTGCATCTCTTGAAGAACGGGACTGTAAAGTTTTGATTGTTTCGATTGAGTAATTTTGATTGAATTTTAAACGCTGTTACCCTGATATTCTATGTTTTCTTCTTAAGTCTTTTTTGCTTTCGGATCTATTTTAAAGACTATTCTATATCCGACTCTGTAAGATCTGGTTAAGAATTACAAGGTGAAGGTCGGAAGGAGAATGGAGCCTTTTCGAAAGAAAGTGGGCGGTGACACCAAGAGTTTACCGTACGGATGACACCAACCCTAGTGACCCCTCTGACCTTACCTGACAATCACACTTATTACCTCTGTGCACCATAGAAGTACTAGACATCAACAGTACCTGTGTACACCCTAGAAGTACTAGACATCAACAGTACCTGTGTACACCCTAGAAGTACTAGACATCAACAGTACCTGTGTACACCCTAGAAGTACTAGACATCAACAGTACCGGTGTACACCCTAGAAGTACTAGACATAAACATTACCTGTGTACACCCTAGAAGTACTATACATCAACATTACCTGTGTAAACCCTAGAAGTACTAGACACCAACATTACCTGTGTGCACCCTGGAAGTACTAGACATCAACATTACCTGTGTACGCCCTAGAAGTACTAGACATCAACATTACCTGTGTACACCCTGTTTGGAACGTACCAGAGTCGATTTTATATTTCAAATACATGCTAAGAAAAAAGTGAATTTGTTACTGAATGGAAACAGAATTTGATCTGACCATTTAAAAAGAAAAAGACTAGAAAACGCAAAAAAAACCACCAAAAAACACGTTGTGACATTAGTCTCAATCAGAAGCAACATACTTTGAGAACCCCGTTGTGACATTAGTCTCAATCAGTAGCATCATATTTTGAGAACCCCGTTGTGACATTAGTCTCAATCAGTAGCAACATATTTTGAGAACCCCGTTGTGACATTAGTCTCAATCAGAGGCAACATATTTTGAAAACCCGTCTTTGTGAGAAACTGACAAAGTTGGCATCATACCCTTTTTTTGAAGCCTGGGTAGTTTTCCATCCACTGCCTCCCCCACTCCATTCCCCCACCCCACCCACCTTTTTTTGGGCAACCAAACCAAGTGGATCGAACGTGTCTCCTAGTGTCTGTTGTCTTAGAATCGGTAGAGTCACTGTGACAGTTTGTTTTTGATAAGCGGAACATTTTTTGAGACGCTCCCTACACACTGTCAAAGAGAAACATACTGGCCAGCAAGAGAAGGAGTTACATGCTTCGCTTACACGACACTGTCAAAGAGAAACATATTGACCAGCAAGAGAAGTCATTACATGCTACGCTTACACGACACTGTCAAAGACAAGAGTTCAGTTGAAAACTAACGACAAAATCTCAGTCTCAGGTAAGATCTGACTTTTAGATATGATGTTTTTTGTTGTTATTGATAATTATTTTCCAACGTGTAAAAATGTTCCATGTTCCTGATGATGGACGTCCATAGAACAACGGTTGTTTTTGAGAGCTAGGAATTGTTCTATGTTTGCGCTGTGGAGTTCTTTATTGGATAATATTCAAGTATAAAATAATCAAACGTTGTGCTGCAATAGACCCCCCCCCCCAATACACAACAGATTCTGCTGTAATAGACAGCCAACACATACATAAATTAGACATTGTGCTGCGAAAGACTCCCCCCTTTATTGGAAAAAAATCAAGGATAAAAAAACCAAACGTTTTGCTGCAATACACCCCCCCCCCCAATACACAACAGATTCTGCTGTAATAGACAGCCAACACATACATAAATTAGACATTGTGCTGCGAAAGACTCCCCCCCCCCTTTTTGCACACACACCATTTTAAAGCAATCTCATTATCTTATTTAAAAAAATACATTAAAAATTTAAAAGATGGAGATATATTCTAGGTTGATGAATTAATTTGTTGAACAAACCAGTTTTTGGGTAACTATTTTTTCACTAAGTTATACATTAAATCAAAATGAAAACGTCATAGAATTTTTTTAAAAGGCAAGAATCGAATTAAAATGATTTTTTTTTTATTTGCGCACTCAAACGAAACCACCAAAACAGCATCGCCGATGGGAGCTCTGATAAGACGTGAACAGAGAGAGGGCGCCGTCAACAACGTGCCACCAGGCGGTGCGCTCAACCGGTACACGGGCTTTGTTACGTTGGTTGTCAGTGGGGTGAACGGCTGTTATTATTTATGCGCAATTTTCAGAGCTCCCCTGCTTTTTTTTTCTTCGGAAAATGCGCACCCTAACGCAAAAAACAACAAAACACCAAATAACAATTTGCTGAAGCACATCTGTCATGACCATTGTCAGCGCCTCAACGGAATTTCACGGAAACTTTTCTTTGAATGATTTATAACGGAGGAAAAAATCGTATGATTGATAAGACAAAAATATTTGTTTAGAGCAGGCCTGGCACAATATAAGGTCCGCGGGCCACATACGGCCCGCTCCCGCCAGCACACACCTTGCGGCCCGCAAAGTAACGAAATATTTTTTAATTATTGTTATTTTTTTAACAGTTTCCCCCCATCTTTCGGCCCGCACACGTTTTTCATAAAGTATTACATACCCGCCCTACATTTTGAGTTGAGCAGGCCTGGTTTAGAGCACATTGGGTGGGGGGGGGGGGGGCTGGATAAATTTTATTTGTTTAAAACATATATTTTTTAAATGTCCGCTCAATTTTAAAAAAAAATAATAAAAAAATTGGAACTAAGGGAAATATATGTTAAACTAAAGCGATAGTCTCTGAGAAAGAATTCTATTTATTTCAAAAGCATTTATATTTATTTTTTTTATTTATCTATCTATTTATTTAAACGTTTGGAAAGTTTACCCAGGAATTAAAAAAAAAAACAACAAAAAGCAAAACAAACAGCAAAACAAACAGCAAAACAAACAGCAAAACAAATAGCAAAACAAACAGCAAAACAAACAGCAAAACAAACAGCAAAACAAACAGCAAAACAAACAGCAAAACAAACAGCAAAACAAACAGCAAAACAAACAGCAAAACAAACAGCAAAACAAACAGCAAAACAAACAGCAAAACAAACAGCAAAACAAACAGCAAAACAAACAGCAAAACAAACAGCAAAACAAACAGCAAAACAAACAGCAAAACAAACAGCAAAACAAACAGCAAAACAAACAGCAAAACAAACAGCAAAACAAACAGCAAAACAAACAGCAAAACAAACAGCAAAACAAACAGCAAAACAAACAGCAAAACAAACAGCAAAACAAACAGCAAAACAAACAGCAAAACAAACAGCAAAACAAACAGCAAAACAAACAGCAAAACAAACAGCAAAACAAACAGCAAAACAAACAGCAAAACAAACAGCAAAACAAACAGCAAAACAAACAGCAAAACAAACAGCAAAACAAACAGCAAAACAAACAGCAAAACAAACAGCAAAACAAACAGCAAAACAAACAGCAAAACAAACAGCAAAACAAACAGCAAAACAAACAGCAAAACAAACAGCAAAACAAACAGCAAAACAAACAGCAAAACAAACAGTTAAACAAACAGCAAAACAAACATCAATGTGTTTTGTTTAATTCACTAGTTGATCAACATTTTCTTTACACCTCACGCTTCACGGGTCATCACTGGTACTGAGCGATGGCTCAACTGTACCATCGTGTGAAACAGTTCATTGACAAACACACTTTTTATGTGCCCACGTGACCCGTGAATTAATGGCGCGTGACCCGGATTAATCGGGAATGTGACCCGGGTAATGGCGCGTGACTGGAGTTGTTGTTTTTTGCAGAAAAGTGCACCTCAAATGGTGGTGTTGTTTTCATTAGTGTGCCGCGATCGAATGTTGAACGTGTTTGTGTTTTTTTACCCATAGATGCGAATGGGGCTGACTGCTGTAGATTCGAATGTGGCTGATGGCTGTAGATCTGAATGTGGCTGACTGTTGTAGATGTGAATGTGGCTGACTGCTGTAGATGTGAATGTGGCTGACTGATGTAGATGTGAATGTGGCTGACTGCTGTAGATGTGAATGTGGCTGACTGCTGTAGATCTGAATGTGGCTGACTGTTGTAGATGTGAATGTGGCTGACTGCTGTAGATGTGAATGTGGCTGACTGCTGTAGATGTGAATGTGGCTCACTGCTGTAGATCTGAATGTGGCTGACTGTTGTAGATGTGAATGTGGCTGACTGCTGTAGATGTGAATGTGGCTGACTGCTGTAGAATTGTGAGCGCCGTGCTTAGAAAGGAATTATAAATGACTTAAAAAACAACAACCAAAAGACAAGGAAATAGATATGTTTCCATTAGAGATCAACATAAGCATTTGTTCAAATATACAAAACTGAATCCCTCATTCACTATTTAAGCTCCCGAGTCAGGACAAAGAATGAGAATGAGGGATTATGCAAGTGCCTCCTATCTGTACAATAGCAATGTGAAAAATAAATAGGGACACTATAAAAGCACCAGATCCGAAGGTGTTTCAGACCAGGTTACTGGACTTAAGACAGATGGAGACCAAACTCAAGGGCAGATCTCCGGTACCGTTGCAAGGTCCAAAACTCTATTAAAATTTAACAGCTTGCTCCCTCCCCCCCTCCCCTTGGTTAAATGCTCACTCTTCAAATACAAATTGAGACTAAGTCAATAAGTTCCATATAACAGTTGATATTTTTTCTCTTCAGAAAATCTTTTCAAAGTCTTGTGTTAAATTTTTCTAGTTTAAAAATGGTTGTCTTATGAGAATTGTGCTGCATGAGCTGAAAATCAATTTGTATGTACATTTTAATTAAAATAAAACCATTTCTATATATTGGGACCAATACAAAAGTTTCTCATCTATCTTATCTCGTTTTGTCTAATCTTATCTTATAATACATTGCTTTAACCTACCTATAGTGGTTTGATATTGCCCTACAAACTGATCAAGCGCTCTGGTAGAGTTGCGACGGTAGATTTATTTATTTATTTAGGCATTTTTATATAGCGCTTACCTTAAAGCTCTAAGCGCTTTACAATTATTAAAAACATGTAAACTAACTAAAATAAAAATGAGACATTAGGATAGTAACTAATATACTATAGAAACAATTAAAATGGCTATAAAACGAGGACACTTTGGCACGTTTTGGCCTATACTACAGGATTAACCCGAGACAGAAAATGAGGCAGGGCAAGGAGGGTGCATCACAGGTCATAGGCGGATCTAAACAGGTGGGTTTGAAGGGACTTTTTGAAAGTGGACGAGGTTTCACAATGACAAGGGGGACAGATTTAATTACATTTCTAGCATACTGTGTGGTACTATTGTCTGTGTGACACCTTGTGATAGTTAATTAATTGGACGTCACATCTTTAATTGTCAACTTGACGTTGAAACTTATGTTAAATTGTATTTTTACCAGTTCATTTTTTTTTAAAAAGGTAAAATTGTTGTGTTTGACAAAGTGACGACATCCCTGGGTGCGTGCTACACAACTACACACTACACACGAGCATCGTTTCCCGCGGGTTGAGTCAAGCTTCTGATCCCGTGAGTAATGTGTGGCTGCAATGAGCCACGCTGCAATGAGCCACGCTGCAATGAGCCACGCTGCAGCCTCGAGTGGAGTTAGAGACGTCTACATCTACAGTCTTGAGGTACTAATGAGTTGACAGTTTTATCAAGTAATGTAAAGATGACCTCTTGTTGCTTTTATGTCTATCTCAAATTAATTTGTAAGATGATTAGTGAATTATATCAGTAATTTGATTTTCCCATCTGGTCCGGTTGTATCAATAATTTGATCAACCCATGTGAACGGGTTGTATCAGTAATTTGATTTACCCATCTGGTCGGGTTGTATCAGTAATTTTATCAACCCCTGTGGACGGGTTGTATCAGTAATTAAATCAGCTCACCTGGTCCGGTTGTATCAGTAATTAGATCAACCCATCTGGTCGGGTTGCATCAGTAATTTGATTTACCCATCTGGTCGGGTTGTATCAGTAATTAGATCAACCCCTCCGGTCGGGTTGTATCAGTAATTAGATCAACCCCTCCGGTCGGGTTGTATCAGTAATGAGATCAACCCATCTGGTCGGGTTGTATCAGTAATGAGATCAACCCATGAGGTCGGGTTGTATCAGTAATGTGATCAACCCATCTGGACGGTAGGTTTTCTTGTAATAATAGACTTTTCAGTGGGTCAAAATAATGGTTTCAAACCATTTTAAAATGTTTTATTCTGATTTCTTTTCTAATTATTCAGTCAGTGTTACAGTTTTAATTATAAATACTTTATACAACAGCCGCATGCATCGTTAGGAATAATAAAAATAATTTCTTTTGGTTGTTACATTTAAGGTTCGGCGATGTCTGACAAGGTTCAGCCCCCTGTGGCCATGATCAGCTACTTGACGACCATGACCACCATTGATATGGAGACACCATGTGCGAATGGAATGACGCGAAATGGACACGCTGATCAAGTCCCCGCGGGGTCAGTCCTCTCTGCACACAACATCAACTACACGGTGAAGGTGTCCACAAAGTGCTGCTGGGGAATAACTGATCAACAGATATTGTTTAATGTCTCGTACGTAGAACAAAAAAATGATAGCAAATAATGTTACGCTATATCTATATCCTGCAACAGGCAGTACAGTCGAAAACACTTATCTCGACCTCGGTTAACTCGCCAACCCTGTTATGTCGACGTTTTTGAAGGGGAACCGCCAAATACTCTCTTTGCCTTAGCATGTTTTCCTCGGTTATGTCGATTCTTTTATGTCCGCAGAACCCTGATATCTCGAGCACAGAAGGCTGCCAAATTTTGCTACTTGGTTTTACCTCGGTTATCTCGATCCCCATTGCCAATCGCCGCCTTTTCCCTTCTACGCTAAACACATAACAAACTATGAATTAGAACATAATAATTGGAACCTATTTTAAGAAAAAAAAAATCTAAATGAGGTATCTGTTTCCTACAGGGGCATCTTCAAAAAAGGCATGACTGCTATTTTGGGACCAACGGGCTCAGGAAAATCATCGTAAGTCACTCGATATCATTTTATTATTTGAATGAAGAAATTTGTTGTGTTTTTTTTCTCCTTCTAAGTTTTAGTTTAAATTCATATTCTTCAAGGCGCTTCATTGCAAACTGCATAAGTCCCACCTTCAAAGCTGTCACATGGCCAACTGCATAAGTCCCACCTCCAAGGCCCTCACATGGCAAACTGCATAAGTCCCACCTTCAAGGCTCTCACATGGCCAACTGCATTAGTCCCACCTTCAAGGCTCTAACAGGGCCAACTGCATTAGTCCCACCTTCAAGGCTCTCACATTGCAAACTGCATTAGTCCCACCTTCAAGGCTCTCAAACTGCAATAGCCCCAAATTTCATACTTTTCCAGCTTTCTTGACGTGTTAGCGGGCCGGAAAGATCCAGATGGTGTATCTGGGCTTATTCTCTTGGATGGCAAACCTGTGCCAAAAAACTTCAAGTGCATGGTGGGATATGTTGTGCAGGTATTGTCGTGTTTGACATCATTAGAATGTGCCCTTTCAGTTGTTGGTTATTTCAACACAAGGATTGGACTTCAAAGGGTTAATAACGTTAACGTAAGAATGTGGTTGGGGGGGGGCGGCGGGGTCTGCGTTTTGGTTTCGTAACAAAAAGTTTTAGAGAGTAGTCAAAACTCTGAAAATAGGACGCGTTTTTAGGACATGTTTTTAGGACATGTTTTTAGGACATGTTTTAGGACATGTTTTTAGGACATGTTTTTAGGACATGTTTTTAGGACATGTTTTAAGGACATGTTTTTAGGACATGTTTTAAGGACATGTTTTTAGGACATGTTTTTAGGACATGTTTTTAGGATACATTTCTTTCCAGGGTTCCCCTATTTCGTACTACTTATTTCCTTTGTAAATTACTACCTGGGGTTGTTAAGGTGAACGGTTGTAGATAAAAATAACTAATTAAAATTAACATCGAGTTAATAGACATCATTAATGTCAACTGTTCTCAAGAACTATTCTCTTCCTTTCTTAAAAAACAAAAAAAAAAAAAAAACTATTTTATGTTTGTACAGGAATATGTGGTGATGGGAACCCTGTCTGTCCGAGATAAAATAACTAATTAAAATTAACATCGAGTTAATAGACATCATTAATGTCAACTGTTCTCAAGAACTATTCTCTTCCTTTCTAAAAAAACAAAAAAAAAAAAAAAACTATTTTATGTTTGTACAGGAATATGTGGTGATGGGAACCCTGTCTGTCCGAGAGAACTTGGCCTTCTCTGCTGCCCTGAGACTGCCCACGTCGGTCAAGGCCGGGGAGAGAAAGGAGAGGATCGACCAGGTCATCAAAGAACTTGGCCTGGAGAGGTGTGCTGACACCAAGGTAAGAAGAAATGCTGAGGCATGCAGGCTGGCCAGGAAAGGCAACATTAGAGCACCGGCTACAGGAAATGTCCCCTCCCCGTGGTGCCAGAGACTGTTCCGAGAACGGATCGGACTGGCAAGCCACCTACGAATTCATCGTGACCCCCACCCCACCCCACTTTGCCCAACCGGATGAATAGATGGTCCTTGACGATCCTGGCGGACGAACGAGCAAGAATGAATGTAGTGTTACTACACTAAAGGGTTAACGGAAATTTGTTTTAAAAAATTCGTTCGACAGAAAATTGATCGACAGAGGTTTGGTCGAAATGAAATTTGTTCGAATGTTTAAAAAAAAAATAATAAATGGTGTCAAATTTAAGAAGTGCCGTTGAGAAATGTGGAAAGGGAAATCTGTTCGAATTGTGTACGAACAAAATTTTGAACGGAAGTGTTTGAGAATGGACGAGTCTAAGAACGGAAATGTGTAAGAATGAAAGTGTGTAAGAACGAAAGTGTTTAAGAACAGAAGTGTGTAAGAATGAAAGTGTGTAAGAACGGAAGTGTTTAAGAACGGAAGTGTGTAAGAACTGAAGTGTTTAAGAACGGAAGTGTGTAAGAACGGAAGTGTGTAAGAACGTTAGTAGTACGGAAGTGTTTAAGAACGGAATTTTGTTCAAACTGAAAAATAAAAACCAATTATTATTTAATTATTGAGAATTTATTTTTTAAGAAAGTAAAAATATAAATAACACTAAACAACCTGAAAAGTTTTAACAATGTTTACTTTCAATTAATATTTGATATCGTTTTTTATTAAAATTTCTATCGGATAACCTCATTTGAATTTTTGACTCGAGCCAGCACTTATCTCTAGCAACAGAAGTCAACAGTACAATTTTTTCCGCAAATTACCGGTATCAACCCGATGAGTATCCTTAATTGATAAATGCTTACATCTTCTATTTATGTTATGCTATGTAATGTTTTCATCTTATATTTATTTTATGTTCTCCAATGCCCAGGTTGGCAACGAATTCCTAAGAGGAGTGTCAGGGGGAGAGAAAAAAAGAATCAACATAGGCATGGAGCTCATCATCTCCCCTGCAGTGCTATTTTTAGATGAGCCCACAACAGGACTTGATGCCAACACAGCGAACACAGTCATGAAGCTTTTGAAAAGGTTTGCAAGTGTGTCAGATCAGTGGTCCTCAAATTAAAATAAGCATATAAATAAAGCCGTGGCAGAAGGTGCATGTTAGGGCGAAAAAAAAATAAATCTTAATGCATTGACATATTATAAAATGAATTATTTAACTTTAAATACGTAGGCACAGTCCACATCACATATTGAAAACATTTTTCGGTGAAAGACAACATACTAAAATAGTTTGGAGACCACTGTTTCAGATCATAGTTTTACACAAGTTGTAGGTGTAAGATGCCACAATAAAATAGTTTGGTGACCACTGTTCCAGATAAAGGATAAAGCAAATGCCGATGTCTCTGGATTTTGAAGCAAACTATATAATAATATTGCACCATTTCATTTTTTAAAATAGTTCCGTTCAGGGCTACATGTTAACATTTGATAATGTTAAAGTCTCAGACGGAACAATATTTAGTTTGTTTTGATTGAAAACCGTATCGAGGACTCTAAGTATCATTGTCTCGGGGTACATTTCTATGCTCCCAATTTTCTGTATTACTTATTCACCAGTTATTCTTTAACTGTGACTTTCTTTCAGACTGTCTCGCAGAGGAAGGACCATCATTTTCTCCATCCACCAACCCCGTTATTCCATCTATCGTCTGTTTGATAGTTTGATGCTCTTATCTCAAGGTCACACCGTGTATCACGGACCGTCGGAGGAAGCTTTGGCGTTCTTCTCTTCACAAGGTCAGTGTTGTCTTAGAATCATATTTATACCAAAGAAGTAAGAAAATAAGAAAGGCAAGGGTTGGGCCTCAGAAGGCAAGGGTTGGGCCTCAGAAAGCAAGGGTTGGGCCTCAGAAGGCAAGGGTTGGGCCTCAGAAGGCAAAGGTTGGGCCTCAGTGAAATCTTGATACAAAAAAATGCTCAAACGATGCGTCAGCTTACTTTGTCTGTTTAACAATCAATGATCTTCTCTACAATGTGATGGCTCTTATAATGTCATTTGCAATGTCTCTTGTGATGTCTCTTGTAATGTCTCTTGCAATGTCTCTTGTAATGTCTCTTGCAATGTCTCTTGCAATGTCTCTTGTAATGTCTCTTGTAAAGTCTCTTGCAATGTCTCTTGTAATGTCTCTTGTAATGTCTCTTGTAATTTTTCTTGTAAAGTCTCTTGTAATGTCTCTTGAAATGTCTCTTGAAATGTCTCTTGTAATGTCTCTTGTAATGTCTCTTGTAATGTCTCTTATCTTAGGCTACATCTGCCAGGAGCACAACAACCCACCTGATTTCTTTTTGGATCTCATAAACGGAGACCCAACGACATTCGCCCCTAACGGTCTGAGTGCTGACAAAGAAATAGAATGTGACTTGGACAGTAAGTCGATTGCTATTTCTACTACATGAAATATTGATAAATTGTAATTGCTGTTTATCGTTGCTCATTGGGCAATTAATCAACCAAAAAACTGAACTACACATTATGCGAAACCTCAGCTCACAGTTGTGAGTAGAGAGTAGTGAGTAGAGAGTAGGGAGTAGATTACCTTTTAAAATGCCAGAAACGTTTTTGTAATATGAACATTGAACACAAGTTGACAATTTGCACTGACTTGACCAGTAGAGTTAGCCGTAGCCAGTAGAGTTAGCCGTAGCCAGTAGAGTTAGCCGTAGCCAGTAGAGTTAGCCGTAGCCAGTAGAGTTAGCCGTAGCCAGTAGAGTTAGCCGTAGCCAGTAGAGTTAGCCGTGGCCAGTAGAGTTAGCCGTGGCCAGTAGAGTTAGCCGTGGCCAGTAGAGTTAGCCGTGGCCAGTAGAGTTAGCCGTAGCCAGTACAGTTAGCCGTAGCCAGTAGAGTTAGCCGTAGCCAGTACAGTTAGCCGTAGCCAGTAGAGTTAGCCGTAGCCAGTAGAGTTAGCCGTAGCCAGTAGAGTTAGCCGTAGCCAGTAGAGTGCACGACTGCCAAAGAAATGTATCAAATTAGAAAAGATCGAGTAAATTTAATATCCAGGCAGAGATAACTTAGAAACACAACGTTAAGAACGATAACTCACCCAAAAATAGCATTCCAAAGAACGCCTCGCAGACAGAGAGTTCTCTCCCCGTAACCACAAATGATGGGTTATTTTTGGACAGCCATCGCACCAAAACGATTTTAATTTTTTTTAAAATTTAATTGTCTTGTATTTTAATTGTCTTAGTTATACATTTACATTTTTTTAAAAAGTATTTTGTATTTTAATTTGAAAACAACTGTCACCTTATTTTTAATTTTTATTTCTAGATGTCAGTTACCGTTGGTTCACTCTGTGAGTTTTCACTTATGCAAGAGTAGAAAATAATTTTTGAAAAATCTTGGGGCGGGATTTATTGATTAATATTTGGTGCTTAAGGTTTAGAATTTTTGTTTAGAATTGGGGGGGGGGGCCTACCTTTCTGATTTTTAAATAAAATTTGTCACATATCTCCAGTGTGCAAGGTGACCAGTAGTTATGGTGTTATTGTGCATGCATATCACGTTAAAGTGTAACCATCTCACTCAAATATTTTAAACAGTTCAATTCAATTCAGTTCGTAACTTGATGAAAACATATTTAGTAGAAACAGAAATCTTTTATTTCTAATTGTGTAACAGCTCCTCAAAGTCAACATGAAAAGTTGGTGGAAGGATTCAAAACTTCAGCTTGGAACAAAAGGTGAGATCTACTCGTACTTTCTATTTATTTTTAAACTAGCTTCCCAGTAAAATATATTTGTTTTCATTATATATTATTATAAACTGAAAACCAGAGGCTCTCAAAACATTTTTGAGACACAGGACATGCTGCATCCAGGTTTTCTCTAGACGCCCTACGTGAACTGTGAGCCGTTAATTTTTTAATGCTTTTATTTCCCACTTCATTACGTCTTTGTGTTGTTGTTTGTCATTCGCATTCGAAGAGGGCAAAGGTTATATTCAACAGTGTGTACACAGTTGGCTTGTGAAGATGGCCATTGCTGTATTCAACAGTGAGTTTGCAGGTGGCCTCACACACTTTTTCTGTGCCTGGAAAGATTGCCCGTATGTAGAACATACGTGTCCTGGGGGTCATAGAGGCGATCCTAGGTTCCTTTGCTGTCAGCTTTCTTTGGCCGTGAGTCGTAAGTGTGTAGTGTGCAACAGTGCCTTTTCCTGGCCAGCTTGTTTTCTGACAGTGAGTCTGCCTCGTCGCCTTGTGCCATTCAAAACATGTCTCCTGTGTCACGGTCAGATCGCGTGAGGTTTTCTGGGTCTGCTTTTATGATGTTCACTGGCCAAGCGTTGGTGTTTTTTTTTCCCCGTGTGCCCCCACGAGTTTTGTCTCGGTCATGTATGACCGTTGTGGTGTGTCGGGAGGAACCACGTGACGATGGGAGTGTGTGCAAAAGGAGGCTAGTTTTTTAGAGTGAACAGTGGCGAGTGCTGTGGATAAGGTGTATGATTTTCGTTGTGGGGAGAGTGGCATTTTCTATGGATGGGAGAGGATTTTAGATTTTTAAAAATTAATTGTTTTTTTTGTGTGCATGTTTTTTGTCGTTAAGACTTCAAGAAGAAGCAGACGACATAATGAGGACATTTGAAGCTTATGGAGGCCTGAAGGGGAAACAACATAAAGCTGTTGATTATATTACATCATTTGGACACCAAGTGAGCACAGCAGATTTTATTTCGTTATTTGATATCTCTCTAATGGTTGGATTTTGATTTGTATTTCTGAGGTATGGATGTAAATGTACCCAATGTCTGTCAAAGCTCTTGAACAATAGTTTCTCATCAGGTAGAGAATATCCATATTTTTTAAAGACAATACAAGACCTCTATTTTACGACTGTAATATCACTGGATTTAAAGATATGTTCAGCCACATAAAAATAAATACTCTATTCCCTCCCCTTGAAATGTGTTTACAGAAAGAGGTTAATTGTTTATCTCAAGTTATCTCCTTTATTCTTATGTGTATTTTGGACAGCCTTGAACAAGATGAAAGAACCAAATAGTTTTTGATTTAATTAACATTAATAAAATTATCTACAGTTTTGAATAACATTAATAAAATCATCTACAGTTTTGAATAACATTAATAAAATCATCTACGAAATGGTAGCCCCCGAAATGAGCAACCACACATTTTTTTTTTTACACGCCCCTGAAATTTATTAAAAAATTGAGACCCCCAGCTAGAGACCGACCGAAAGTGATTTTCTGATTTCGGCCGAAGCCGGAACTAGGTTGAAAGTTAAAAATGACTTTCGGCCGAAACCGATACCAAAAGCTTAAAGTGACTTTCGGCCGAAAACGAAGCCGAAACCAAAAGCTTAAAGTAACTTTCGGCCGAAACCGAAGCCGAAACCAAAATATTTATATATTTTGAAATTCATTCATGCAGACATTCTACGAACATCGATGGGGTAAAGTATCAATATTTACATATTTTTTTATAAAAGAACTGAGATCATCGTGAATATTTAAAAAAAATCTAATGAATACTTTGGCTGTTACCATTTTAATTTTTTTTAAAATGAATTACTTTAAAATGTTTTTGTAAGTAGTACGTTAAGAGAAAATTCTGACTGGAGGTGGGGGGAGCGTGGCAAAATTAATGAAAAATTGACCCTTGAGTGCCCTTTGCTTTTATACTATAATTACAACCTAGAACATATACCTGATACTACCTACAGTAATTATTTTGGCTCTGATATAGTCAATAGTCACTTAAATATCATTTATTAAGGCAATAAAATTATCATTACAATGTTTCGCGGTTAAAATTCCCACTTTCCCAATTTTAACCCACGCTATATATCAGCACATTCCAAAATTAACATTATAAACGCGAATCAAAATTGCACAATTTAAAAACTTTTAAAGAGGAATAACTCTCGTCAACACTTTTTACTTTTCTCAGATAGGAATCGAAAAATAATCAGGTAAGAATTTATGTTGGCTGCGACTCTTCAGACCCGTGTTTCAAGAGTGAGAGGTTGGGTTTATGTTTAAAAAAAATATTTAAAGTATTATTGTAGGGTTTGTAAGAAAAAAAAAATGGTATCAAATGGAAGATAATTGAAGGGGCTATATGTTTGCAAACTCACTTCATCAGTATAACTAAAATAAAACTACCACAAATGATATCCAAATAGCATTTTGTCTAAAGGGACCCGGGTACGCATAGCCGCTATTCGAGAGAATGAAACTGTTGGGTCAGTAAACAATGGACATTGTTTAAGTGTTTTAGAGATGTTGGAGGAATTTGACCCTTTTTTTGGAAGAGCATCTCAAAGTGTTTGGAAGTGCTGGAAAGGTGAACGCGTCATATCTGTCGACAAATATTTGTGAGGAATTTATTGATCCAATGGGTCAACATGACCTTAGTGCGATTTTGAAAGAAATTAAAGAGTCAAAGTATTATTCAATAAGTGTGGATTCCACCTTCAGACATTTCACACATCGATCAACTGATATTTATGGTCCGGCACATTCTAGGATGTAAGTCTGTGGTCCGGCACTTTCGGGACTGTAAGTCAGTGGTCCGGCACATTCGATGATGTAAGTCTGTGGTCAGGAACATTCGAGAATGTAAGTCTGTGGTCCGGCACATTCGAGGATGTAATTCTGTGGTCCGGCACTTTCGGGACTGTAAGTCAGTGGTCCGGCACATTCGAGGATGTAAGTCTGTGGTCCGGAACATTCGAGAATTTAAGTCAGTGGTCCGGCACATTCGAGGATGTAAGTCTGTGGTCCGGCACTTTCGGGACTGTAAGTCAGTGGTCCGGCACATTCGAGGATGTACGTCTGTGGTCCGGAACATTCGAGGATTTAAGTCTGTGGACCATTTCATCGAGTTCATTCCCCTAATTGCCCATAGAGCAAAGAATCTAGCAGAAACTGTTGTGTATCAAAGGATCTAGCTGAAACTGTTGTGTATCAAAATGATCTAGCAGAAACTGTTGTGTATCAAAGGATCTAGAAGACACTGTTGTGTATCAAAGGATCTAACAGAAACTGTTGTGTATCAAAGGATCTAGCAGAAACTGTTGTGTATCAAAGGATCTAGCTGAAACTGTTGTGTATCAAAGGATCTAGAAGACACTGTTGTGTATCAAAGGATCTAGCAGAAACTGTTGTGTATCAAAGGATCTAGCAGAAACTGTTGTGTATCAAAGGATCTAGCAGAAACTGTTGTGTATCAAAGGATCTAGCAGAAACTGTTGTGTATCAATGGATCTAGCAGACACTGTTTAAGATTTCCTGAATGAGAACAAAATTTCGCTATCAAACTGCCGTCGTCACTGGTATGACAATGCTTCAAATATGTCTTGACGCTACACTGGATTGCAAGCACGGATGTGTCAGCAGGACGAGTTTGCCGTGTATGTCCCTTGTGCTGGACACAGTCTGAACTTAGTGGGCTTAAAAGCAGCAGATTGTTGTCTACAAGTTGGAAAACTGACTTTGTTCAGCGCCTATATACCTTTTTCTCAGATTCTACACTTCGATGGAATATAAGACGATTTATTTTATTTTATCATATATAAATTTATTCAAAATTCGTAAAATAATAGAAAATTCAAATCAATGTTCGTTAAGCCCCAGAACGTGTTTAAATCGTTTCGTCTTCTAAGCCTAGCTCATTCTTATAAATATATTCGTATATATAAATATAAATATATATATATATATATATATCTATTGAATAAGAGATTACTAGTTCAGTAACGATTGTTCATAGTACATAGTTTATTATTTGTGCGCATGTAGGTTGCATAATTAAGACATTTGCGCAGTAGGAGACTAAAATATTTAATACAATGAAGTGAAATTAACAATCTATTGATTCACATTTATGTGAAATAACTTTTGAGGGTGAGGTTAATATTTCCATCTAAATAAATAAGGTCTACTAGTTGTATCCCGCCAAACATTGGCGGCAGCAAATGCGTGAACTTCCCATCTACTAAAGTTACTTGACAAGAACGTGAACTCAAGTTACGCAAATTTAAGAATGCCAATTTTGCTACATCCCCCCCACCCTCCCTTTTTTTCATGATACGTCACGGCACACTTTTTATTTCACGCCGATCCGTGGCTTCGCATACGCCGCGAGCTTGGCTGGCAAGCGAGGGTGGTGCAAGAGGGGGGGGGCGGTTGCTCCACTGCAGTGCGCATGTCTCGAGACCAACGATTGGCAGTTAAGTGAGGGTAGGGTTTGCCTGCGTGTTGCTTGCTCTGGCATATCTATATATAGCCTGCGTGGTTGTCTTGGTCTTGTTGTGCCCTATTTTCTGGCGAATTATATATATAGATTTTGACTGAGCAATGATAAAACTAGGATACCCTTTTATGTTTCAGGTCGTGGTTGTGGCCAAAAGAACTATGCTCAATATGATCAGAAATCCACAAACAAGTATACTTAATGTACGAAATGATATTGAATATATATAAACACATGTTTATGCTGCATTTTCTATAATGGCTGTGTTAAAGCTTAACTTTTTTATTTGTGCTAATATAGTTGTTTAGATATAATTGTTTTATTATATATATATATATATATATATATATATATATATATATATATATATATATATCTTTTATTGTCCACATTAGTTTGAGTGCTTACAGTAAAATAGATTTAATATAAGATACCCATTCTCTAGCTCTAATCTTCTCCAGGTTGCCACTGCCTTAGTCTTTGCCATCCTTATCAGTGCCATCTACTGGCAACTTGGGGAGGATCCAAGCCACGCCTTTAAAGACAGGTCAGCCAGACAGAAGTTAATTCAGAGTTTAACACTTTGATTATATTATGATAACAAAGATGCAGGCTTACTTTATTTTTTATCGAAGGTCTCATGAAAATCTGTAAGATGCCTAACAAACCTCTATAAGATGTCTAACAAACATCTATAAGATGACTAACAAATATCTATAAGATGTCTAGCAATAAACAAAATCTAATATAAAGCTCGGTGTGACATTGTTTGTGAATGGATCGATTCATCAAAAGAACACCAAACAATGGATCACAGCCAAATTTGACATGGCCATTCCTCCTGACCCTATGGAAGAGGAAGAAAAAGATGGGAGGATAACATCAAAGAGTGGACGGGACTAAAACTGGGTGATGCTGTGGGTTGTGCAGAAGACAGAGACGAATGGAGGAGGATAGTTCACATGTCCTCTGTGGCGCCCCAACGGTCCAAGGACTAAGGGACATGATGATGGATGGCTCCTGGAATGTTTGGTCATAATCAACTTATCTGTAACTACAAAATCGTGAATTTAGAGGGTATAGCGTAAAACATATTATTTTTACATTGCTTCCATGAACACTGAGGTTAAGCCATGTTTGTTGTACACATTTGAACAAGCTTTATTCAGATCGGTGCACTTTCAAACATCTATTTAATGAAGGTTTTCTATGGGCTTTTGCTTGGTGCACACATTTGAAATAAAGTTTTGTTCAATGTACTTTAAAAAAACTAAGTGGCTATTCGTACCCGGGCACCAGAAGTGAAAGGTTGGAATTAAAAAAAAACTATTAAAAATATTATTGTTGGGTTCGTTAGAAAAAAAACGAGGTATCAAATGAAAGATAATTGAAGGGACTATATGTTTGTAAACTTACTGCTTCAGTTTAAATAAAATAAACTACCACAAATGACATCCGAATAGCACTGAGTCAAAATTGACCCAGCCACGCAGCGCCGCCCTTCGCCCCCGGGTACCATTAGACTCAATGCTATTTGGATGTCATTTGTGGTAGTTTATTTGTCATGCCTCTAAACTAAAATGTCTTTTCTCTAAGAATTGTGAAAACTTAATTTTAAATTTACAACAAAAACTCTATGGACCAGTTTAACCTAATTTTTTAGTAAAGGAATTTGATATACGGATATCTTCCTTAAAAATCTTAACCAAAGTTTTGCCTTTGTTTTCTACTATATTTTCGTAAAATCGTAAAAATAAAGAATTATTTTACGTAAATAAGAATCTCTTAACCATTTTTACGTGTCTAACAGCTTTGAGTGTGTCTTTTATTAAAGAAATGTTATTAATCTCATACATCCACTTTACTTTTCAAAAGTAAAAATATATTTTCAATGTTTGAAAGAAAATCTTAAGCTATCTCCATTTTTCAAAGTTAAATTTTCTCGTGTGTAAAATGATAGGGTTTGGATATTCATGGCTAGACTTGTGTAAATGTACCCACTTTTTGTTAATGCCATTTATTTTCGTAATTGGTAAACATATATTTATTTGTAAAAAGATAATGCAACATCTCTTTTTAACAACTGTAATGTCATTGGAATTAAAGATATTGTCTTCCACGTCAAAATGTACACACCCTATTTCCTACCCCCGATATATATGTACCTAAGAAGGTTCTGGGGTGTATCTTGTGCTTCCTGCGGCAAAATGAAAGTATTTCACCCACCCCTCCCCGGAGTTTAATACAACAATTAATAAAATCAGCCAAGGGACTCTAGCCCAGTGCGTACGCTAAAACACAGTTATTGCACTTCATATGCTCTGCTCTTATTAGGATGAGCGATGAGTGCACCAGTGAATGATATTTGGCTTTGGGGTTTCGCTGCACTCATTGACTTAAACAGCATTTTCTTATAAAATTTTATTTTATTGCTTGATAAAATTAAATTAATAAAAGTTTATTTTTAGAAGGAAAAAATATGTAAAAACGTATTAAATGTTAAAAAATACAATGGTAATTTATTGTGCGTTTTATAACAATTAAATGCAATCAATTATATTTATTAATTTAACTTTTAAGAAGAGGGAAATACATTGTAAGTTTTGTCACACGCGGTTTTTAAATGAAAGAAACTTAAAGAGTCCTGGTGAAATAGGCTATTCGCGCTATGACGTCATTGTGTGTTTATTAAGATCAAATTATTTTAACTTTTCTCAATATTAACAACGCACTAAAGAACGCACTAAATATAAACATATGTTTGGGTTTTCCCGATAAATGTGATTATTATGTGATTGTTAGATAATTGTTTTTTTTTAAATCTAATTTTTTTCCATAACTTTCAAATTCGGATAAAATTCTTAAAATAGTTCATTTTTTTCTATTTTTAATGTTTTTTTTATAATTTATAATTATAATACTTAAACATTCACTAAAATAAAAGCGGATACATTGTATTTTTGCGCATTTAAATGTATTCGATTTCTGTAAAATAATAGAAAATCACTATCATTGTTTTTAAGAATCCTGACGTATTTAAATCGCTTCGACTCTTTGGCGTTATGATAAGCTAGCCCATTTTTATATATATTCTTTTTAAACAAAATCATTCTGTAAAGTTCGTTTGATTTAAATAAAGTTTTTGACTGAACGAAGCTTGAATACTATGCTCAAAATTCAATTTTTACAAGAGTTCTTATAATTCTGATAATTTTAGGATACATTTTTAAAATTTGATTGATACTTTAGCGCAATTTTTTTGAGGGTGACCTAAACTCTATGTACTGTGATAACGCTTTAGAATTTTTTTTTTTCCGAATGGATATTCGAGGAACGCCGGGAAAATTTGCTAGTTTAATATAAAGTTCACACAGAGTGTCGTCTGTTTACTTTCTTGAGAGACTTGCACGTGGTTATACACAATGTTACTCAATGTAACATTATAACTTTGTTCTTATGTTTTCATGAGGCCATTTAAAACATGTATTTGATGTTTTAACAATATACTATGGGTACATAAAATCGGAGCACGTCTTGGATAAAAAAAAATGTACATGCAGAATTAATTGATGCCCACGTGATACATTTAAATTTAATTGTAATATTTTGGCAGCCGATTCAGGAATTATTTTCTTCTAATTTAAGGATTCACATTTCACATTAAAAGTCTGGCTGTCTGATTTCAGCTCAAAATATGGTGTACTCATAAAAATTAAGAGGTTAAAATAATTTTACTTTTTTTTTTTTTAAACATCAGATCTGGTGTTTTGTTTTTCCTGATCATAAATCAACTTTTTATCAATATCACGGCAGTAGAAGTGTTTCTACAGGAGAGGAAACTTTTCATGTAAGTTATCTCAGATCAATATCAGACTGGATGATTGCTTAGAATATTTATGTTGGAAGTTATTTGACATTTTTTTATGTCGGATGTTATTTGACATTCTTTTGTTTCATGTTTGGGACCAGTTTACTTAAAATTTCTGTAGAGCGATTGAGTTCGGATGTTTTGTGGACCAATTAAATTAAGATTTGTATGGAGCGAATGTTTATCTTTAAAAAATTGACAGTTCTTTACGTGTGTGCAAGATTGACAAATGAGACTCAGATTTATGAATCCTTTTAAAATCATATTTGATAGCATCATGTATCAGTCTGTTTTTGTCCCCAGGCATGAGACCGTCAGTGGATTCTACAGAGTGTCAGTCTATTTTATGGTCAAAGTAATATTTGATATCATACCTCTGAGGATGATTCCTGCAGTCATCTTATCTGTCATAGTTTACTTTGCTGTCGGTGAGTCCATAGATTCCAGCCTACATATAAACACTGCTGTGGGTAAGTCAATAGATTTAGGCCTACATATAAACACTGCTGTGGGTAAGTCAATAGATTTAGGCCTACATATAAACACTGCTGTGGGTAAGTCAATACATTTGGTTATTCCTACATATCAACACTGTGATGTGCTTCTACGAGTATCTGCCGGGAATGCCTTAAATACAGTTACAATTTTATTGATTAAAGCCATCAGAAGTGTTTAAACAGTGCCACAAGAAATGTTTGGGTTTGAACGAATTTATCTTTCAACCAATGTAAGTAAGCTTGCTGACTGCCTGAAATATATTTATTTTATTTTATTATATTATCTACAATATTAAATTTTTACCCATTGGTCTCACCTAAATAATGATCTTCTAATTTGTTCACAAATTGAAAGCTAGTTGTTTTTTAAAAAAAAAAATATATATATATATATATGAGAAGTTGCTAGAGTTGAAATAACTTTGTTTCCATCCCAGGTCTCAATCAAGGTGCTGAAAACTTCTTCCTGTTCACATTGTGTCTGTTCAGCACCACAGTGGCGGCCGCTTCTTTGTGTTTCCTCATCAGCTCGACAGTACGTGTGTTTGCTGTGGCACAGCTTCTACTTGCGCTGTCTTATGTCCTCATGATGGTAGGGACAATGTTCTCATGATATTAGGGAAACATTTTATGTCCTCATAATGGTAGAGACAATGTTCTCATGATAATAGGGAAAATTTTATGTCCTCATGATGGTAGGGAAAATATAATGTCATCATGATGTTAGGGAAAATACTATGTTCCCATGATGGTAGGGACAATGTTATGTCCTCATGATGGCAGGGAAAATGCTATGTCCACATGATCGTAGAGAAAATATTAACTCCTCATGATGGTAGGAAAATGTTATGTCCTTATGATGGTAGGGAAAATAGTTAAAATATTGGAATGTCCACAAAGTTTGTATGTTAACATCCTAACAATTAAAAAAAAACAACTCCACTTAAACTCTGCGGTTCCAAAAAGCCTTTGATAGCCTGGACCGACAAACATTTCGGAAACTCCTCCAACATGATGGGGTGCCAGGATCACTGCTAGGATCATTAAGAGTTTTTATGAAGGAAAGATATCCAAGGTGGTAGACGAACGTAGACTCACAGATGCCTTTAAAGTGGAAACATGATGTATCTTGCCACCCCCTTCCCTTTTGTTCCTTTGTCATTGTCGGGATAATGCAAGAATGCAGAAACAAAAAAAGGATATACAGGATACAGTTGACACACTGAGAACAACTGAATGGCATAGAATTAGCAGATGACATTGCATCTCTGGCCCACAACCAATAACAAAGGCATTAAGATAAAATGTGTAGCCACTATTTCAGCAGGACTCTAACATAAATAGAAGCAAAAAAAAAATATCATGACGATAAACTCAACTAACCAAAAGCTTATCTACTTGGCAGAAAATGCAATGAAAAAAGGGGAGACCTTCACCTAACTGGGCAGCACCATTGACATAAATGGTGGATCCGAAGCTGATATCAAGGTTGGAGTCGGAAAAGCTTGGTCAGCATTTGTGCTATTAAAGAAAATATGGAACTCAAAGGAGCTGACTCTGCAACCAATGTCAGAACTTTCAACACAAATGTCAAAACAGTCTTACTCTGTGGAGCATAAACTTGGAAAACAGCGAGCAGAAAGTACAGATCCTCATAAACACTTGCCTTAGAAAGATCCTGAGCATCAAATGACCAAACACCATCACCAACAAAGACATAGTGGAAAGGACATGCCAGGAGCCTATTAGTTTTTAGTTTTCGTAAAAATATATGCTATTGTTTCAGTTTATTGGAATATCTGGACACATTTTTCAAATTGCCGTTGTTAGCTAATCCTCGACAAATAATTAATAACTAATTTGCTATTATTTTCTACTTAATTGTCGCTTATATCTCTAACACTGTTCGTTTGACCTAAATGTTTTATTTTTATTTGCCAGTTGCTCGGAGGATTCTTGATCAACTTTGACTCTATTGGGCCATGGTTAAATTGGGCCCAATATCTTAGTCTGTTCAAGTATTCTTTAAAAGTAAGTTCTTAATTTTTTGAAATAACTAAAAAAAAAATAACTATTCTCACAGCAACTCCTATCAGAGTCAAAGTTTGCTAGCACTCCCGGGCCTCGTTTTGAATCATTGACTAGCGCTCAAACATGTACCTGATAAAGGCTTTCTTTTCTGAGTAGCTCTAAACCATTGTCAAAATGATTTCGATTGAAGATTGTCTTTGGTAGATGAACTTAATTTTTATTAATTGAGGCGTCTCCCGGACCGGCGGTGATCTACAGACTGGCATCAATCCGCAAGTTCCAAGGCACATGCCCCAAATAATTGAGAGCCATTGATCTTGTTTCAAAAGTAAACTGGAAATTATTGTAAACTTTACATGAGCTTCTAATTAACGGCTGTATCTCGAAAGCAATTTGAAACAGTAGCTTTATAAAGTACTGGTACAGTTACTGTGTAGTTTGTTTTCTTTGTTCTTTTGATCGTTTATCCTTAAAGTTTTCAAATTATATAATGTATAGGCAATATAGTAAGGATAAAGAATGAACTGAAATCTTAACAAGGCTGTAAAGACTCAAGGCAAAATAGTATTTTTATATGGAACAGAAAACGTCTGTGGTCAGAGAATAAATAGCTCTGTGGTGTGTGCTAAGGTTGCCCAAAAAGGCCTCTGGCTTTGGTTTCATATAAATAGTAAATAGTGCTAAATAATGCTCAAATTGTAACTTCCTACAAGTGATATATTTCATTTACTCAAAATTAAAGTCAAATACAAATAACACAAAGCATTCATTTTTAAATTTTAAAATTTTTCCCTAGGCCCTGTACATCATTGAGTTTAAAGGAAGATTGTTTTGTGCCAATGAGACATCCTGGTAAGTTGATTGTTTTGTGCCATTGAGACATCCTGGTAAGTTGATTGTTTTGTGCCAATGAGACATCCTGGTAAGTTGATTGTTTTGTGCAATGAGACATCCTGGTAAGTTGATTATTTTGTGCCAATGAGACATCCTGGAAAGTTGATTGTTTTGTGCCAATGAGACATCCTGGAAAGTTGATTGTTTTGTGCCAATGAGACATCCTGGTAAGTTGATTGTTTTGTGCCAATGAGACATCCTGGTAAGTTGATTGTTTTTGCCAATGAGACATCCTGGTAAGTTGATTGGGTTTCGTTGTTAGCTGTCCGATTGAGTTGCTGTAATTATCCTATTTAATTATCCTAATCATTTTTGAGAACACAACTCTTATGCTGCAAATTACAAGCATAATAAGAACAATTCATTTAATTATACATTAATTGTAAATATTCATATATTATTTTTTTAACCTTAAGCCCTGAATAGTGTTGTTATGATATGAAACACTTTGACCAAATTATGTTATAATTTGCTGAAATAAAATTATGTATAAATAAAGAGGTTTAGTATTTAAAAAAAATAAGATAATCAATCTTTTTAAGATCTATAAAGATCTATAAACAATTGTGCTGTGTTTGTATGTTCAAAATCCAATCAAACAATGTTTACTTTTCTTCTGTTAGTCAACCCGGAGATACATATCTCTCTATGCAAGACATGAACTATACAGAACCATGGGACTTCTGGCAGAACTACGTCGCTATGGCAGTGTACACACTTTGTCTGTTGATTCTGACGTACATTCAGTTGAGGCGTATGAAGAAAACATCATAACACTGTTACGCGAATAGAGCGAATTTGGAATTATTCTGTGATGTGTGTGCAGGTGAAAAAAAAATTACGCTCAGGAGACTATCATAGCCGGAGTTTGATTGATTATAATGAATGTGCGACGGAATGTAACGGATTGTGACGGAATGTTACGGAGTGTGACGGAATGTTACGGAGTGTGACGGAATGTTACGGAGTGTGACGGAATGTTACGGAGTGTGACGGAATGTTACGGAGTGTGACTGAATGTTACGGAGTGTGACGGAATGTTACGGAGTGTGACGGAATGTTACAGAGTGTGACGGAATGTTACGGAGTGTGACGGAATGTTACGGAGTGTGACGGAATGTTACAGAGTGTGACGGAATGTTACGGAGTGTGACGGAATGTTACGGAGTGTGACGGAATGTTACGGAGTGTGACGGAATGTTACGGAGTGTGACGGAATGTTACGGAGTGTGACGGAATGTTACGGAGTGTGACGGAATGTTACGGAGTGTGACGGAATGTTACGGAGTGTGACGGAATGTTACGGAGTGTGACGGAATGTTACGGAGTGTGACGGAATGTTACGGAGTGTGACGGAATGTTACGGAGTGTGACGGAATGTTACGGAGTGTGACGGAATGTTACGGAGTGTGACGGAATGTTACGGAGTGTGACGGAATGTTACGGAGTGTGACGGAATGTTACAGAGTGTGACGGAATGTTACGGAGTGTGACGGAATGTTACGGAGTGTGACGGAATGTTACAGAGTGTGACAGAATGTTACGGAGTGTGACGGAATGTTACGGAGTGTGACGGAATGTTACGGAGTGTGACGGAATGTTACGGAGTGTGACGGAATGTTAGGGATTGTGACGGAATGTTAGGGATTGTGACGGAATGTTAGGGATTGTGACGGAATGTCAGGGATTGTGACGAAATGTCACGGAGTGTGACGGAATGTCACGGAGTGTGACGGAATGTTACGGAGTGTGACGGAATGTTACGGAGTGTGACGGAATGTTACGGAGTGTGATGGAATGTTACGGAGTGTGACGGAATGTTACGGAGTGTGACGGAATGTGACGAATGTTACGGAGTGTGACGGAATGTTACTGAGTGTGATGGAATGTTACTGAGTGTGACGGAATGTTACTGAGTGTGACGGAATGTGACGGAATGTTACGGAGTGTGCGGAATGTTACGGAGTGTGCGGAATGTTACGGAGTGTGCGGAATGTTACGGAGTGTGACGGAATGTTACGGAGTGTGACGGAATGTTACGGAGTGTGACGGAATGTTACGGAGTGTGACGGAATGTTACGGAGTGTGACGGAATGTTACGGAGTGTGACTTTTTCGTTTTTAATCATACTTACCGTAGTATGTCTATGCATATGTTAATGATGTAACTAGTTTAATACACTCAGTGCATACATAGGCGAAGAATGATAGAGGCGGGGGGGGGGGAGCCGCCCGCTTCATTTGAATGGTGGCAATTTCAGCCTACTGCAGTTTGTGAAACATATTGCTGTTGGGTAAAGTGTATTTACTATGTTTCGTGAGCAAGGGACAGCTAGATGGAAAACGTCACAAAATACAGCTACTTCACCGAATTGCATAAAATATAATTAATTAACAAGAACACCCAGAAACATATTGACTATTGCTGTGTACCGGCGTGGCAGAATGTGAACATAAGAAACACTTTAAAGGCAACCAAGAAGCCTCAATGAAAGCGGTCAGACACATGGGAATAGTCGGCAAAGGGTCAGTCATCATGGGTTTTCTTCTGTACACAAAGGTTCCATACAACACAAAGCCAATAGAAGGGCGGCTGTGGAACACAAAAGACACACGAGAGAAAGCTCGTGTTAATTGCCCCACCTGGAGATGTCCCAATCAATCCTCTGCACCTACTATACAAAAACATTTCCTGCTAGAATTGATCTCATCAGCCATCTACACACCCAGAGACAGAATTGATCTCATCAGCCATCTACACACCCAGAGACAGATTTGATCTCATCAGCCATCTACACACCCAGAGACATAATTGATCTCGTCAGCCATCTACACACCCAGAGACAGATTTGATCTCATCAGCCATCTACACACCCAGAGACAGAATTGATCTCATCAGCCATCTACACACCCAGAGACAGATTTGATCTCATCAGCCATCTACACACCCAGAGACATAATTGATCTCGTCAGCCATCTACACACCCAGAGACAGATTTGATCTCATCAGCCATCTACACACCCAGAGACAGAATTGATCTCATCAGCCATCTACACACCCAGAGACAGATTTGATCTCATCAGCCATCTACACACCCAGAGACATAATTGATCTCGTCAGCCATCTACACACCCAGAGACAGATTTGATCTC